CTGCCCTCACTAGTTATCCACTACATACAATGTCAAGTGCAAAAATGCCTCGAGTGATATATTTATCACCTGCAAAAATGGCATCTGGACTACTCTTGGCAGTGTTTGCTTGAAAAGGGAGCAATGGTAACCTCAAGAATAGTACTTTAAAAAATACATGTAAAATCATTGATTTGAAAACATTCATGATATCTCAAAAGTTAGTCTGAAACTGTTGCAGTCACTCTGAAGTCTTTGAGATCATTTTTCAAAAGTTAGGGAAAGTATCAGCTTGGGTCTCCATTGTCTTTGGGCTTTGATTTCCAAAGACTATGGCCCATTTGGGGTTTAATTTAATGAAAGTTTGGAGACTGTTTATTGCATATGTGTACAAGCAGGAAAGGCTTCTGAATTTTGGGAGATGAATCCATTTTGGAATGAGATCTGGGTTTTACAGGTGGCCATATTTGGCTTTTGAATTCTAAAAGAATGAATTATTTCATTAGCTGGATTGCCGCTGCTTTAATTAAAGTAACCATGAAAGAAGTAATTCCCACATTGACAAGAAAAATGAATTGTCAAGCTAACAACAGCATCCAGTGACAACTTTGGGTTAACTGTACTTTTTCATTGTTCGCTGTTATGTGCATATAATTAGCCATTTCCAATGTTGTAGAAACTATTTCTGTGTGTATATCTGTCACTTTTTCTGCATTTCTTTATTTATAATTGCACTTCTGCAAGTTTAAAAACGGTTGAAACAAAGGAGGTGTGTAAAATAAAGGGCCTGGTGTCTATGTGGAAAAAATATTTTTGTGCAAACGGTGCATAGCTTACCAATAAAAGGGGGAAAGCCTTTGAATTTTAATTGAACAAATGATTTAATTGTTCTCTGCAGAGCACCAGAGACATAATCAATATTGTTGAACTTATTGTGGTGTGAATAATATCACAAGGACAAATGTTTAGTGTACATTTATTGAGGGATCAGAATATGTTTTACATGTTGCAAGGATTTGTAATAAAAACTAAGGTATACACTGAACTGCATTGTAATGCTGATCTTTTTAGTCTCTGCGTATTCTCCACAAAACCTAGCTGGAGCTTCTTGCTGAAGGCACCACATTTTTGGTACTTTTACTTTCCGACTCTAAATATGGTTATGTCCTAACCACCAACATAAATAAAGACAATTGTGATGATATTTGAGAATCTGAGATTGGCACAAGATGATGTATAACCTAAATAGTTTCAAGGAAAATGGACGCATTCAAATGGAAATTGTCACTGCATTTACAAACCACTCCTTTGAGAAATCACATTTCTCTGCACCAGACAAAACTGTAGATAGCGTGTCTTTACTCTTGAGCTCTAACAGTAGGTATCATCCACATTTCAAGCCGACAACAGTCTTTCCCAAGTCTCCCCTTGTGTTCAAAGCAGGTCAAAGTTCAAGACGGCACTACGTTTCTGGTGATGCTGCAGCAGCCTGCCGGCGCCGCTTCATTTTCCCCTTATTGATGTAGTGTAGGACATCCATCTCCACAGGAATGGTTTCTACTTGGTTCACCGTGACATTGACTGTGTATGTGCCGTAGTCTGTGATTGGCTGCTCAGGTAACTCCAAGGCGTGCTCTGCAACTACGACACCAAGCTGGACAAATGAAAAAGAACAGAAAGCACTAGCAACGATCATAAAGTTGATCCAATATCTAAACATTTCCAGTAAAACCCTACAAAATAATTCAGGTTTGTTTCTGATCTGCAGTCCCCCCCCCAAAAAAAGTTGCAGGTTTGGGTGAACAGGATCCAAAGAAGTTTGAAATATCTCTATGTATGAAAGTCCAATTTCAAAGTTGTCTGCATTTTCCACTTAAAGCAAGGCTACAAAATTACTTCCTCATAACTTATTATCCAGTCAGTTATAGAGGTTTGCGGTAGCGGTATTGGAATCCTGACGACGGACAGAGCGTACTGTCTGAAATGTTGAAAACCCTCCGGTTCTTTTCAGAACCACACATACTCACCAGAGAGTATCCTTGCATGGGTGCTTCTGCAAACCTCTACAACTAACTTGCTACATACCTTCACCTTTAAAAGCTTCAAAGCTCAACCCATATCCCTTATGTAATTTCTGCTCTTGAGTATTTTTCAGTTCTCTTTCTGATTCAGGACACCAAGAATTACAATAGAAACCACAACACGAACAGGCAGAATAAAAGTAAACTCACATTCTTGTCAAATGCGTGTAGGACTGCCTCTTTAGGAAGAACGTCCCACCTTGGAAAGGGACGAACTCTGACAGTCAACTTGTTCTTCTTCAGGTATGCAATGGTCTGGAGTTGATAAAGAAGCAAGTTGAATCAGTGACAGAATGGTTAAGAATTATACATTTAGCCCTAACCTTGCTAGATGCTGCACAGTGCAACAGGGGTTAAGGTCTGGTGAACTTTGTTGCCAAATAAACTGCCTAATTTGCAACACGTCAAGCTGGTCCCATTGAACAATGTCACTGTTAGATACTGTGCTCCCTGGTAACCTCAGACTGAAAGACCAACTAGGTACAAAAAGACTACATCACTCTCCCAAAACCAACAACGCCAAAATGTATTTTTCAATTTGGATCCTATTCTCAACAAACTGATGTTGAATCAAATCTGGACTTACTACTTACATGCACAGTTAAAAACGACTTGTGGCATCGAGTCTAAATGTTTTTAATCCATAATGTTTATACCTTAAGGGCGGTTGGTGTCATTACTTTCCGAGTTCCTTCTTTTTCTTGTTCCTGAAAAGAAAAAAGCAAACCAAACGGATAAAATTACACTTGCACGAAACAAGGCAGCAGAAAAATCAAATGACAGTCAATACACATCTAATATAATATACATTACCAATACACATTACTCCCGGTGCTAACTTCACTTACTTTTCTCTCCAGTTTCAACTCCTTAATGTTTTCTGGGGAGGCGTAAACAGCTAAATTCTTGTCCAAGAGCTTGTTGCGAGCGATGCTCCTCTCTACAGCAACAATATCCCCTCTGGAGCCTATCCCTGTTCACATAACACAATGCCACATACCATGCCCTCAAATGAAGATACAACATCCTAGCTTCAAGACTTTAAAGCTTTAGCATCTAGTAGCGGATAGCCCATTACATGTAGCTATACTACAAATAAATTATTTGCAATATGTTACCATACTCTTGGTAAAAATGCTGTCGCATAAATGGTCCCATAAATATTTCTTAGTACTAGAGGAACAGTACATAGTTCTTACGTGGTACATCTTCTGTGAGAATGACTGGAAGCTTTGGTTTGGGGTCATGCATTGTATCACGCTCAAAGACATAGACATAATGACTTGTCTTTGTGCGATGGGGTTTTCCTCTAAGCTTAGGAATAGGGGGTGGATAGCGTCGTCGCAACTTCACAGCATTCTGCAAATAAGATTGTCAACGAAAACATGACTCACAATTTTCAAAGAAAGAAGTTACTTGTAACAACAAAATTGTGACTTGAAATAAATCAAAATAGCAAAGCAACGATAACATTTCTTACTCTCTGCTGCTGCCATCCCATGTAAGTGATGGGTGCAGTCCGACATAAACTTCTCAACAGTTGACAACCACTGGCGAATGTTACCAGCGCCATGATCCTCTGGTTGGGTCTGCACTAGCGGAAGAACTGTATGGTAGGAATATATAAATCATGTCAAAAAAACTTCATGCATGTTGGCAACCAAGATGGGAAGAACAAGTTGAATGATAGTTATTGCTCTGTTACATCACATCCCTGGCTTACCATACTTTTCACCGTCTGTACCTTTTAAGCTGAGATTCCAAAAAGCTAGGCTTATTATTCTACACCAAACATTTGATGCATGCAATGTGAGGAAAGGATTCCATATACTGCGTGGACGACATTACCTTTTCCCTGCAGTTACCTATTGTCCATCTGTAAGCAATAACACGTCCTCCAAAAAAGTCAAAGTTATAAAATGAAACAAAGGATTCCTCAAAACTGCCCTGAGCACTAGCTCGCAAGCCAGGAGAAGTCTTAGCAGTGGAAATAGGATCTTACAGAAACACCTAGATTGGAATTTTTCACACCAATCTCATAGGGTTTGTGCACAGGGTGGGATATGGAATTCTAGCCCTATGAGATGCCAGGCCACAAGATGCCAGGCCAAAATGATTTGCACGTCACACGTTTACACTGTAAATTTGCACATTTTGGATTTTAAGCCTGGCACTGTGTAATCAACACGATGAGTAGAGCATTGCAATTTTTTTACCAGTCAATCACACATGCCACGTGGCTGTACCACTACCAGTCAGCCACTGCACCAGTGCAGTGGCAGTGTGAAGTTGGTTACTCTCGTTCGACATTCAGACCACCGCAGACGTTTACTTAGGCCATGTATACATGTTAGGTCTAGACTAGTACTAGGCCTATGTAGGCCATAGACATGATGTATGAACTATGATGAATGAATGATGATGATGGAGGAAGTTTAATATGCCTGGCATTTAACACACTTATTCTCAAAATTCCTGTGCAAATATAAAGGAAACTGATATAATAATAATATTAAAATAAATTATCACATCGAAATCACGTACCTTTGCAACTGAGCAGTGCTTTGAAAAGATGTATTTTGTGCATGAAGTATCCTAACTCTTTCGCATGGACGCCGCCATGTTGAAAATGTATGCCCTCGATCGAAATTATATATTATCATTGAGAATTTGTTTTCATTTTTACAATCTTACATTCAAATAATTTCATTGTAAAATTATATACTATGTTATTATTGTTTTATAAAAATAATTCTTTTTATTATTGAAATTTATTTATTGAAATACGGTCACGACGGTACACTTAAAAATAACCCTTACTACAGAGGAAACAAAAAGAGGCGGGTCAGCGGGTCAGCAGGTCGCAGATATACGGATGAGTTGATGACTGTTTACCAAGTTAGCTGGCGGGCCAAGGGATTAACGTGTAGTTTTAATGTAAAGTTGTCTCGGCTGAAGTTCTGCAGAAACCTTCATGAGCACTTTGTGAACAAACCTTTGTAAAAATGGTGAGGTATTGAGATAAGTGGTCATGACACTCACTATGGACATGATGGATGGGTTTTCATTACTTCCCGAAATGTGAGGTACTACTCCGTAGACCTTACTTACCGAAGTGATCTTTATCATGGTTCCGCACGCTAAGGCATTTTGAAAGCTGCCCAGTTAGCCTACCAGATAACACGTCTGTTTGCGCTTGCTTAAATGAAAGCATATCTTCCCCTAACGACCCTATCAATAACATATGGAACTTCTGTTATTGATTGTATTTTGTAACGTTTAACCTAAATGTATATTAATATTAGCAAAAATGAGGTTCTTTCAACAACAATGCTTACCTCTCATGCATCCCTCGACAATCCGCACACATCTGCATAGTGTATTCTCTGTGACTGCACCTCATGTGATAATAACAGGCGCAGCGTATTCGTGTAATGAACATTTATGTTGCTTTGGATATCAGTTCCCATAATTGTGACGGAAACGGGTCAAGTGATCCCCCAAAATTGAAACTCTCAGTGGTCAAGTCGTCCCCTGGTCAAGTCGCCCCCCACTAGTTCTTACAAGTGTTGTCTGTGCATGTAATTTTCCTTTTAGGTGCATCAACCATAGAAGAGAAAGAAAAACAAGACAGAGACACATACATGTAATCACAGTTGGCATTCGTTCTATGCAGCCAGCTAGCTGGTGGCTTTTGAAATCTACGGTGACCAAGATGTGCCATATATATTTATTAAAAGGGGATGACATGACTCGGGGATGACTTGACCAACATTCATTCCAACTACTCCCGCTAAGATTATGCATATGTATAGAGACGTCTGGGAAATCTGTGGTCAGGGAACCACACTAGTCACGTCGCGGCTCGACCATTTTGGAAGCAGGAGGGAGGCAGCAATGTCAGGGTGCGCAATGTCAAGCTAGCTGTTTACACATGTTTTAATGTTTGATAAATACGTACTTCAGGGAGTGCTAATATTTTGTGAAGATAGTATGGTTGTGAAGTTGTGAGACGAATAAAGTTTCTTTTTTCCATGCAATTGGGGGATATATTTATTGTAAAATGGTCGAGCCAACCTTTAATTAGGCATGCATTTACAAATGTATAGGGGCTCTTGGCTATATGTCTGATTGCCTGTCTGTAGTTTTGATATCAGTTGATTGTTCAAGGTAGTGTTTGTGCCACGTACCAATCAAGCCAGTGTTGTCAAATTGTACCCCTAGAAACTGTGGGATCATTGTCTGCTGCACCCCAGATCAGTTTACAGATTAACTGCTAATTATTTCACCAGTTCAACCAAATAATGTTCTTTTATCATGCCGATTACCATTTCTTTTTTCCATTCAGAGGTTTCGCTTTTGTGGAGGGCTAGACTGCCCAGATTGGGTGCTAGCAGAAATTAGCATCTTATCCAAAATTGTGAGTATGATTTCCTTGAGTTATAATGTCAGTCTGAGAGGTTCAGTTAAAATAAAAAAAAGTACATTTTATATAATGTTTTAAAAATAATGCAATTGAAATTACGGCATAGTGTCAGGGCAGTTGGTAAGAAGTAAATTAGCAGTACAGCAGTCAATGTATCCATGTTGCATATGGAAAGGACCATTCAAATTGTCTTGAAGTTTTGTACTCAAATTTGCCTTTAACTGAAGCAAGGACGTTCAAGTTGAAAATTTGTAAACTTATCAAAATAGCCTTCAGGGTGTGCAAAAAGACATTCAAGTATGACTGTGTCTACTAAACCTTGGTTTTGAGATGATGGCCATCACTGCAATTCTTATTATAGAATTTTTGAATAAAAATTATTCTAGAATTCCTTATTTTAGGCAGCCTCTAACCATTAAAACATGTTTTCGGTATCTTCTGATTTGCAGACGTCAGTGAAGATGAAGTTACTGTGTGCACAAGTCATCAAGGATCTGCTTGGAGATTGCATCGATGTGAGTTGTTACCTTTTTCTGAGGAATGCTTGTGATTCTATTTTGACCGACGAATTCTTAAGGTGTTGATCATTGTGAACATCCGTGACAATTCTATCCTAAAACACAAGTAATATCTTTAGATTTGTATCAAAAATTTGTAAGTGGACAATCCCCTCCTTGGTTCTTCAGTTCCAACCCTCATGTTGGTTTTTCTTTCATTCGTTCAGTATGAAAAAGTATACAAGCTCACAGCTGATGCAAAATATGGTGAGTCTCAGATTTGTTTTTCTGGAATAAAGTTATGAGTATTCTAGTAGTTTCTTGTATTCTGCGAGGTTTTTGTTCCTTATGAAATGATTTCATCTTACCTGACCTGGCAATTTTATGCCATAAATTCAGGTCCTGAAATCTTCCAAAATCCACCATTTGGTCTGGCATTATTTTGATTTATTCGGGACTGTATAGGTCAAGACCGCTTTTAGTCTACATAAGGGCTTGGTTTGATTGACCTACATGTACATAGAAATTCACCATTAGTTCCTTACACAGGGTTGTTTTTAAAGATGCAAGAATTTTTCCAACAGAATTGACCAGGACGTCATTGTGTATGAATATGAAATTACTTCATACAGTTGTCTCATTTGATTTTTTGGCTATCTTTAGAAACCGGTGATGTAAAAGCCAGCATAGCAGCTCTGAATTTCATCCTATCCAGTGCGGCAAAGTACAACGTGGATGGGGAATCTCTGTCCAATGAACTGCAGCAACTTGGTCTTCCCAAAGGTGAGTTGAGGGTGTAGTTAGACCTAGGAGACTGGAGAAGTTGTGGATCAGAATGCTCTCGGGAGTAGGGAGGTAGTGTAAGGTTAGATGTGTTTTGCTAAAATTGTAAAGCTAGGTGGTTTCTTAGGTATATTTCATATATGGCCCATATATCTCAGACAGAAATCAGAATATTAACCCTAACCCTCCTCAATCCTTCACCTGTTGGAGGACTGAGGAGTGTTAGGGTTAAGAATATCAAGAAATATGGTGATAGGAGGAATACAGAAGAGCTCTGTTGATACAGAGGTCTGGCAGCTTGGCTCATGTCTGATGTAGCCAATGTTCAGATCTTTCCTCAGCAGAAACTGTCTATCAAGCAATGTTTGCTTTAAGCAAGAATCAGGTGAAACCAAGTCCCAAGTACTGTCCATTGGAAAGACGTTTTGCTCAGCAGTTTTGTGTTGGGGGTGGGAGAGGGGTTAGCCACGTGAAATCTTTACTGTGCTTAGATTTATTTCCTCGCCATTCTCAGAGCACTCCGCAGCACTCTGTCGCTCCTACCAGGACAAACTAGAAGTGCTGCAACAGAGATTCAAAGAAGACAGCTTAAGAGGTAAGCATTTGGTGAAAAATGATCTTGGAAATTTTCAGAGCTCTTGAACACTATCTTGAGGATGGGTAGACATTTTTTCATTGGAACCTGAAACGATTCTGTGAGAATAGGAGATAAACGCGTAAACCGTGGATGTAATCTCTCCCCAGTGTCAAAGCTGGACAATGTGGAGTGGAGAGTGGACTACATTTTGGGTTCCAGCGAATTGAAAGATGTGAACGAACCCAGTGTGTGTCTTAGACTGCACATACGCAATCCGGACAATGGCTCTGTCAAGCCTACAAGCTTCAATATGTCGGCTGATAAGTTTAGGATCTTTCTCAGCGGTAAGTAGGTTAATAGGTCATCATTTGAAAGTGGAAAGAAGACTGAGAGAAGATTGGTGAGGGTGTACCATTTCATTTCTGAGGCCCTCATATTTTGTCTCTGAAGTAAGATCAGGTCTTCAGCTTAGAAGTCAAACAAAAATAATTTATAGGTAGACGCAATGTCTGTGGTGAAATGAACTTGACGCCATTCATCTCGTGAGTTTACTGAGAGATGATGCCAGTGAAATAAGTATTTACATTTATATATGTAGCAAGACATCTTTGACTTGAATACACCTAGACCATGTAATTTGCTAATCTGTTGGCAACTGGTAGCCATGATATAACAGTAAATATAGATCTATTCTTTTTTGGTATTGCCATGGTTGATATGATATTATGTTGTTTCATTTAATTCCATTCTTTTTCATAGGATGGAGTGGGACAACTCCATTTTTGGGGGGGGGTTATTTCTTGGCAGTTACGATTTAAGACAAGAGGCAGTAATAAGCGTTTCTTTTCTTGGGTTTAGAGCCTCGGGTCCGTTGGAAATAAAATCATAGAATGATAATGGGAAACTCAGTGTCCGAGCGGCATTTAAGTCGCTTCAAGGATATCCTCGCAGCCTGTTACAAACGATCATGGGAGTTATGTCGTGAGTCACCAAAACCTCATGAGTATCAAAGCTCATTTCCCAAGTGCTGTTATGCAGGTAGAATTTAACTCGAGAGTCACCTGATTGTGTTCTGCTTTCTCCTTGCAGAGCTCAGACAGACACAAAAGCTGATGGAAGGAATCACAACGTGATGCTGTATATTCCCCAAAAATGCATCTACCAATTAAGGGTGGGGCGTTTACATGTTTAAACAAAACAAGTTCCAAATCCATTGACAGATTTTCCCTAACATTTAAACGGAACTGCCCTTTAAGAGGTTTGACGTTTTGATTGATGCAATTTGTCATTTAGTTTTATCGTAAACAATGCCTATAAAAGGTAATCTGATTCTTGGAACACTTTTCCCTTTTGGCATCTATGTACTTGTCGAGAAAAAAGAGGATTCTAAAACACTAAACATTGCTTGTTTTAAATGCCCCACCATCAGTCTATATTGGTTTGACCATGTACATTGTTGAACTATATAATTATGCATAAATAAAAACTCTGAGGTAGGTGGCGGCAGCGTCTGGAAAGTGTTGGTTAAATGTTTAAATGGCATGGGAAAAATTTCTGACCATTTTTCAAATCAAACATAAATTCCCACCCTTACCACCAATGACTTTTTATAATTTGCACTTTGTTTGGAGATATGACAAGTGACTGTATATTCATCCATATTATGTAATCGCATGACTACAATTCTCTATGCTATTATGTAACTTTGACCATCAAATATAATTGCTGGTACGGTGTAGTAACCTCAGTTACATTGCATCTTTAGCCCTGACGGTATGTAATGTCATAAATGTAAGGGATTGTAAACAAACAAATCACAAGATGATTGTGAAATAAAATGAAGCTTCTTTATTTCAGGAGCAAAAAAACTTACAAAGTGCAACACTGTGATTAAAGATACATGAACAATCAAGCATAAAGCAAAAATATTCTTTTAAATGGAAGCACGGATCTACCTTTGATAACTGATATATACTACAACACCTTGGTAAAGTTACAATCTGCCCAGCACCGAGTGTTTCAGAAATGTATGGGCTATTCTGTCAGGGGCTGGTATATTTTTTTCACAATACCCATCCTGCCTACAGGGCATTTTCCAACAGGGGACTTAGAATGCCGACAATTCTCTAATTGGGAACACACACTTTCCTGAGATTCCCCTTGTGACATCCCGACCTATTCCGCAGTCTGGTCCACTAGGAAGCTTGATCTTGATTACCAGCAGGAACATGTCTTCCTCAAAAATGAATCATTCCAAAAAGAAACAAAGTCAGTCTTAACTCAAAGCACTCTGTCCCAACATGACTTAGTTTGGGCTGTGCCTTGTTAATGTTTGAAATCGCCAATTTTTTTTTCTCCTTTTTAACTGTTAAATCTTAACTCCCATTAGATTGATTAAGGACTGCTAGGGTTTAACATTATGCCTTCAGTAGTTCTTTACAAAAAAGGTCAGAAATGAATTTCTAACTGAAAAGGATGATTACTGTGCTAGTTTACAATAAGTTTCAGATAAATGGCAGGTGTAAATCTGCTTATATGCTATTTGACAATGACAACTCCTGTCATTTGTATTTCTTCTTTGGCATTTCAGCACAAATGCATGCAGCTGGAAGGAAATCAACGAAATCTGGCAAAACATGCTGCTTTAAAATATTCTTTTAGTTACGGCATTAATCTGTCATTTTAGCACTCAGTAGCTGTACAGCTGGTAAATCCAAGAATTCAATAAATTAAATCCATTAAAGGAAGCTCAAAGCTCAAAGGAGTAGAAATAAAGCCCACATAATTCAAATTAAATGATACAGAATGGCAGATAAGCATTTCAGCTAACACTTTCTAATGCACAATTTCAAGCAAATCACACTTTTGTTGTCAAGAGTACAAGTAAAATCCTTGCTTTGAATTTTTTCAACGAGGTTATAACCAAAATATGTGAGGTTGAATAAAAACCTACATTTATTTTTCATTTTCAACAGCCCAGCAATTTTGTTTCCCCTCAAACTTTAAGACAGGACGAAATAAAACTATAACAAATATTTCCATCAGATTATTTGACCAATGCAGAATATCTTAATCTTTGCACCTTTTTTTTGTACTTGCCAGTTTATACTTCAGTCAAATGCAAAAGTGAAGTGCATTTGACGTCACAGACAATTTGCAGCAAAATTTTGCTCATGTTAAAGGGTGTTCAACTTTTACAAATTTGCGAAGCGAATAGTTAATCTGACTTCACAAATTTACTTTTATGTTCACTTTTACGTGAAGCATGAACCAACCTTTAAACTGTTGTGACTGGCCGACTGTGATAGTGGCGAGGATAGAGATATTTCAATTACACATAACGCCAACATTTGTACTAGGCAGAGCTAAAATCATAAAGGGAACAAAAGCAGAAATGCTGCTTAGCAAAACCAAATGCCATTGCGATGTCCACAGGAAGCAAATTACAAGCACTACACTTTTGTAACAATCTGGCTGGTGGTTTGTATTTAGCAAAGTTTAACACCGCCTGGTCTTCTGCTTTATAAACAAGTGCTTCATACATCTTCACTTGTGCCAGTTCTGCAAATTAAAGAAACAGCAACACTTTGCCTTCTCATAGACATCCACAGACAATAGAGGGTTGCATGGCTGCCATCTTGCAGGCCAGTGCTTTTGTTCTACAGAATCAACACAAAGGAGGTTTCTCTGTGGAACAAAAGAAGTGCCCTGCAAGATGGCTACCACGCAAAGCCTCCACACTAACTCCAACAATAACCACACCTCATCTCATTACTTCACTTGAGAATCTTTCAGCTTGAAGCAACATGGCCAATCCAACAATGGAGTAGCGTCTGATTATAGTGTTGTATACTACTATTTGACTATACATTTCCAACACTCAAGGGGGAACCATAATGATAACCCAAGATTTCTACACTTTGACAACCTTGTCTTCCATTAAAAAAAGTCATTCTGAAGAATAAAGATACATATGGAGAATACTTATCACCGTGTTAATTGTACCATGCCTTACAATTTAAATCTGAACATTAAACTGGTCACTACTAATTTCCTTAAGAGAATGATTTAATATATTTTAATGCCCAAATGCATCTTAATAACGCTGTTAATTTAACAGCTGTCACTCTTGAGAAAGTTATAACTTGAATAAATTTCTGAAAACTGAGTTTGTCATCTTGTATTGACTACAATTCTATTAGAGATGTTTTTGCTATCTGATGCTTCTCAAAAAGTTATACCTTAAAAAGTTGTTTAGGACCTTGAGGTACATATAAACCACCAAGTACTTCTCAAAATGACTCATCCGGCTGTTTGTGATCACCTCATTTTATTCAATGAGGTGTCATTTTTGCTATCAGCCTGGATGAGTTTTCTTGAACGAACATGCCACCTCGGGGTATTGATTAGTATTTCAGTAATGACAGTTCTTTGTGTAAATGACAAATGTTTCTCACGAGCAATGATGAAAATGAGTAATACCTTGAGGTGACACAGAGATGAGGTAAAATGTTTAGGAATGAGCAACAATTGTTGGAAAGTGATAAAATTTGGTGAGTAAGCTATACTCAAGTGAGTCATACACTTGGAGTGAGTTTCATGTTCAAGAATGAGTCATCCACAATTCCCGTGCCGGGACTAAAAGTTGTCATATCCCGGCATGGGGAACTGTGCTGCAAAGTCCTCCACCTCCTGACGCAGTTTGGCGATTTGCTCTACAATATCCTTGTTTGTCTCCGCAACCTCATAGAAGGCCTTGTCATCAGCACCTACAGAACAAACAATAATATACATGTACTGGTCAAATCTCCTGTAAGTTTGCGCAACTTTCTCCAACCTCTGTAAATACACAGGACATCACTGCCAACAATCGTCCACTATTTTAAAAAGATAGAATCTGAAAATTCAAAGTTCTTGTCAATATACCAGAGATCTTCTTGGCATCCTGTCCAATACCAATGCTACGATCAATGAAATCAATGACTTGGATGAAATCGCCTTCCTTCAACTTGCGGGAAGTCAGAGCAGGGGATCCTATGAACCAAGCAAAAAAATGAATGGAAATAATGGAATGGATACAAATAACACCGATCATTTCCCCACAAATAAGTTGATCCTCAATTTTAAAATCAAAGGAAACTTATTGTATTGTGTCATTCTCAAACTAACACACCAGTCTTTCCAAGATTTGTAAGCATCAGGATTTTGATGACATAAAAAGCACTTTACTGTGAAACGAACCAGACCCGAAACACCCAATTCACTGCTTTGGAAGACAAGAAGTTTGCCTGTTCTCCATCAAATGATTCAGGCCGATGAGCCAGTGACATAAGATACACTGGAAGAAACTTGGGTTTCAAACAAACCCACATGACTTCTGCTTTGTGTCTTTAAGAACTTTTTTTAAACAATATCTGAAAGCAGCGTGAATATTAACCCAGTCGGAGACCGCTTGGATGCAGGGCGCTCTTGTCGCCTGGGCATGTGTTCTTGTTGACAGATATGGCGCAGAGTTCTAAGATGTGCTCTGCTTTGGCCCCGTCAATTCCTTTAGAGTGGAGATCCACCAAGACCAGATGGTTGTCAGTGCCTCCTGTATGAAAAACGAACACCATTGTCAATGCACAGCTATTTCGCGTCCTCTTCTTTTTGATGTTTTATTTGAGGAATCCTTTGCTTGATTAGTCTTCTGGAAGCGGACATGATTCTCTAGACCATGTACAAAGCTTTGAATGCACTTTTAACCTTAACGCGATTCACCCAGATCCAACAAAATCAACCAAGTTTGTGGGATTTTGACGGAATTAGGAAAGCAAAGTACTGCCACTATTCCTTTATGCCAGTGGTGAGTTTGGGAGAATTTAAGAATTTGTCTCGAGAGTTATGGTCAAAGTTTCATGAACCTTTTGGTACTTACCGGACACCAGGGAGTATCCCTTGGCAAGAAGTGCATTAGCCATGGCCTGAGCATTCAAGACGGTCTGGCGTTGGTGATCCTTGAACACGGGAGACATCGACTGTGAAAAATCAGGCAGGGGAGTTAGGATGCTTTCAAATCATTGAGGGGTTCCCAGCATTCACTTGTTTTGACTCCTTACGAGAGTCTGGTTCCTCGTGTTCACATATACTGAAGAGAAAGGGGAACTGTTTAAACAAGTTCGTCATCAAAGAATCCATGCACAAATAAAACACTTGACTACTTATTTTCGCACAATTCAATTGACACGCATCCAATCTGCTCCAAGCAGGAATAAGAGATGGCATGTTCTTGCACAGGAACGAATGACACCCCTTTCGTGGGAATTCAGAAACAAGTTCAGGCACCTCTGATGCGGGATGTGGCGACGAGCAAACACAACCAGTTTCTGCCGAAATATACAGTCTGTGAAATCTACTTCAACAATCAGCAGCCTGTCCGTATGTTATCAGTAAGGGGGGGGGGACTTCTACTCCGTGTAGATAGGCCTACTCATTGGATGCTATGATGGAAATCTCCTTTTTCCACTGGAAAGAAAGTTAGGGGTGGAATTGGATTGAGAGGGAAGGGGGAGTGAACGTGAACCATCGTGAGTAACTTACTTGCTTCATGGCCACAGCAATGGCTCCAATGTTGTTGTTATGAGGTCCTCCTTGCAGAGCTGGGAAGACAGCATTATTGATTTTTCTCTCAAAGTCATACATGATGTCTTTGCCCGTCTTCTTATTGACTCCCTTCTTACCGCGACGGTAGAAGATCAAGCCCGACCTAGAACCCAACGAATTACACAACAGTGAGCTGGGTATTTGGAGACTTGGAAAAACGTCAATAATGCGAGGATAAGGATCAAATTCTTTTCATGTCTGTCAAATTGTGGGTTTTTTTGCTACCAAATTAGCACTGACGAATTGTTGCATGGTAAACTATTTGGTTGCTCCTTAAATCTAAGCCTGACTACATCAAAACAAACACCACTTTCATTCTCATAGCACTACATTTTGAGGATGCCTTCCATCTCGAGCTCCACATTTTGTGGTATCCTGAAAATCCATCAAACATCCCACAAAGTATTTGAAGATTTGAAAAGGTTACGGGCAACTTGCTGAGCTATTAACATATTTTGCATTTCAAACAATAGTCAAAGATGGCAGTTATGATTTAAGCTTGAGATTTCCAGTGAGCTTGTTGTTACCTTGGCCCTCTAAGTGTCTTGTGAGTTGTGGTGGTCACGACTTCGGAGTAGTCAAATGGTGAGGGAAGAACTTTGGCCGCAACGAGACCGCTGATGTGCGCCATATCAGACATCATAATTGCCTTAACTTCATCACATATCTTAAAGAGTTAAAAACACGAAACCTACTTTGTTTTGAAAAATATTGCTAGAAGAAATTCAACAGTGATTTAAATGGGCATTCATATGGTCTGCAGCCATCTCATTCTCAATTGTTTGCCATTAGCAAGTGCCAACTTTTGTCTGTACCCAGACTAATTACTATTTTACATAAAGCATGGCTTTATTTCCTTCACATGAAATAAATCATGAAATCAAATTCCCGTGATAGGACTCTTTTGATTTGAATGTATACTGTTTATTTTGCTATATCCATTTGATTCCTCTATGCTTCTCAAAAATACAACACCTAAACCTTAAAACAAATACCACTTTAACTTTTCAAATGTGCATGCCTTGTGCACAAATGTCAACCATGTGTTTGGTCAGCTGTTCCACTGTACATGTACATGTACCCTGGCCAACAAGGTTATCATGCAAATACAGAAAATGTTGGATCAGGCATGTCCTCATTGAGTGTACCTCTCTGAATCTCTTGTAATCAATTCTACGCGGGTAAGCACTGTATCCAGCAATGAGGAGTCGTGGGCGGAACAACCGGGAGGTTTCTTCCAACTTGTCGTAGTCTATCAGACCTGTCTTGATCTGGAACAGCAACAACCATCAACAAGCACCTTTATGAATCATTATCAACCAAATGTCACCAGTGGGATTTATACTTGTTAACTTCTGCTTGTACTTATACTTGTTATTGAACATTTTCTGTCTAAAACTTGTCCTTTATCTTCTTTTTGAAATCCCTCTTCACTCATTTTATTCTCCATTCTCTTCATCTTGTACTTTCTAGTTTTAAATTTTTCAGTTGCCAAGTCGAACTCAAATCAAATTTCCCCAGCTCATTTTTTGTTGCATTCTTCAAGCTCCTCTTTCTTTATCAACATCCACCATTAGTCATTGAGAACAATTTAACACCTATCTAGGTGGCTCCGATATTATCATAAATGCATCTGAATCAGTGTGTTTACCACGTTGACTGCCGTGCATAATGTCAAATGGGCACTGCCATTAATTGCCAAATGTTGTATGCATGCGTGCATATTTAAAAGGTACCTTCCAGGTGTCTGTTTAAACATGAGCATTTTATGGATGTTTACGCCCTCCACACTGCCAGCAGCACATTCGTTGTGATCTCGGTGATGCTGGTGTATTCAATTTACATAATAATAGCTTTTCCTTCCTATGAGTATACTCACAGGGGCAGAATCCAGTACACCTGTGACTATGAGTACATGTATACTCGTAATCGGCAGTCAACGTGTTAATCTCCTGATGGAAAAGCGGGCATAAATGGAGTTTTGCTTACATCAAGTCTGTAGGGCATGGACTCAAAAAAGATGGAGGTTGCTGAAATTCTAGCAGTGTCGGTCATAAAGCCATGTGTTAAACTGTAAGATTAGAAAAGGGAGGACAGATGCTGAAACAAGTCCATGTTTTGAATGGGTGATGGTTGGCTCTTAAATGGCACATAAATTGCTCCATTTGTAGTGTTTGAATTCTGTGCTTCAAAGTCAATGGTTACCCAGGTAGGGTGCTTGAATTACACAGACATGCATGTACATGGCAAGTTGCATTACGGTCACTCCGGGTGCAGTTCTCTGACTTACTGTCCTCCATGAGGGAGGTCCAGCCCCATGATGCGGTCGTGAGGTTTCAGCAGGCCAGTATACACAGCCAAGTTGGCGGGAGAGCCTGAGTAAGGCTGGACGTTGACGCCCCATTTCTCCGGATCTAGATCAAAGGCTTCTAGGGCACGCTTCTGGCACAGACGTTCCACTTTGTCAATCACTTCTGTTCCTCCATAATATCTGCAGACAAAGAGATGGTTTCAGTGTAAATGTACTCATTACCCGCCATGTGGTCATGATGGTTTTTAACAGTCAAAGAAAATTTGACATTTCAACCAGCACTGTGCATTTTAGTACATTTTATTCTCATGTACTTAATGTTTTTCCTACATACTTTGAGGACCATTTTGAGAAAGAAACAAGAACAAAAACACAATGGATGCAATACTTCGTTGTTCCATCATTTTTGTGAAGACCAAACACTTATCAAAGCTTTAAGACCAAAAAGAGAATAGCTTTTGTTTTTCAGCTTTCTGGGTCACATATGAAATACTCCTGACTGACAATTTCCACAGCCTTCAAAGGCACTTCCCCTTTTGAAATCAATAATACTCTTTATGTAAATCTGTCCATGAATCAGACTGGTACGTGTTCTGTATTTCCTACTTGGGGGGTAACAGAGGGGGGAGAGTGTGTATTGTTACTTGAAGTTGGAGCACAGACACTAGTTACAGTAACAATGTCAGTCAACAAACATAGAAACAAGTATACATTACATGCTATGCTGAATGTGTAATAAACAAACGCGTTCAATTTGTAATATGCAATGTACGCTCCTGTTCTGCAACACGCTTAGAATGTGCAACGGGCATCCTGTCAAGAAAAACACACTGCATTTCCTGCATGAGTAATACACTCAAGACTGTTGGCTAAGTTATGAAGTGGTTTAGGACACTGCAAAACATAACAGGCTGCAGGAAAAGATAGACATCATAATGGTTTTCCTCTGCAGCATTTATCTTTATATGACTTCTTTTTCACTGAGTGGAGACCTTGACTTTCAAAAAAGGCTACATTGAAGTGGCTTTGCACTTCTTGTTTACGATAAAATGTATTCCAAAATCAATCACACACACTGTCAGGCAGTGTTATATCATATCAATTTGAGTTAGGATTGAGGAGTATGATTTTAGAATCATGTTCCATGATTCATAATACATATATAGTATATGTCAATGGTGTATTTCTACTTTTACGGCCAACTGCAAGAGAGCATTAGTTTACCATCACTACACAATTCAAATTGACCATCGAACTGATTTGCTCTGAATTGATTTGTAAACTTAAGAAACAAATCTTTGGGGGATTTGCGGCACAAAATAGGCAAAAAATAGAATACTTTGCTTTTAGAACGAAGTATCTGCACATCAGGGCAATCCTGGATGCCATTTTATCATGTAAATAGGTACATCTGGAAAGAAGTTTCTATAGTTTAATCAAATCATCCTGAAAACTGCGTTTAAAAGTGTCCAATTTCATCCGTTCGTCATTAAGTGAAATTCAATAAGAAATGGCTGACATAAGAAAAACCATGTTAAGCTTGGATATGAAAAAGCTTTTATATAGAATGAATTTATTTTCTGTTGGATCTATCTTGGTGACACGTCTTAATTACCAGTAGTTCTTCTTTCTGCTAAAACTGAAAACCTTCTGTCCTTCAAAACATCTTCCTGGAATTAATTTTCACAGTGAAATCATTTGTCACAAAATATCGCTCTCCTCATGAACCGATAAAAGCCTCTACAATTTGTTGAGTGTCTACTGGATTATCTGGGAACAAGTGTCACTTAAAACTTCAGCCTTATATACCCACTGGGGGTCACCTGATTGAGAATCTGTGGAAGGCAATGTCTGGATCATGGGAACAGGGAGACGGGGCACAAGTTCATGCAATAAACTCTTCCCTTGAGGGCCCTTATAATCTTTCCAGACAAGCATGGCTGAACAACAGTTGGGTGCCCCTGTTCAAGGTTCATCTTATGAAAAGGGGTAATCATGAGTACATATCAGTTGGTCTTTCAATGCTAATGTTTTTGTGTATGTGTGTGTAGATCCTACCGGTACATGTATGTGCAGGTTTGTCACATAAAAAAAACTGAATACATGTACCTTTCTCCTTCCAGATGTGACCAGAATGGTAATTCTTCTCCAGCTACGTGTAAATTCGCTAATCAAATACAAATTTCTATTGATAATTGTTTTGTTGCAGCAAAAAAACTCAGGATGGAGTGGGGAGTGAGAGTCTGGTCTATGTATTTTCATCAAAAGAATTTTTTGTCAAAACATTTACTCTTATTTTATTTACAACATGGGTTGCGCGGGCAGTGTGCCAACAAAGTCGCAGCTGTGTTTGCAATAATCAACTGCCAACAAAGTCAAAGTTCCTATTCTTGTCTTTACACAAAAACACGTGTAAGCAGTAAGCACATGTATTTAATGTACCTGTTCAGACTAGGCATTAATTATAATAAAACTACAATACCTGTATATGTATGTAATAAACAAATAGTTTTTGTTTGCTGGGACATGCAAACTGCCAGAGAATTGTTTTCAAATAAATTCACAAACAGCAAATCTTTAATTTTAAAATTAAAATGAGATTCTATTTATGGCTTTGGTAAGTCCAAAATTTGTCCTGAAATTGTCTAGCTTTTGTCCTTCGTCGCAAAGCGTTGAACAAAGCCTATATGTCTAGATTATTTTTGACCATAAATAAACCCAGGAGAAAAATAGACAAACACTTCACGGGGTGCCACACCACCAGACTTGATATGAAACATGAAGCTATGTAAAGAGTCCAAAATACAAAGGTTATGACAGTGCTTCTCCTTGGTTACAGCCTGGGGTCATGCCAATTTTAATTTTGTATTTTTTTTAGCAAGACTCTCTGCCTGGTCTGATGGAAAAGTACCTCGGAAACTTCCAAATTCTTTCCACCCGCATGTTCCCAGGGTCTCCTTGGTGACCTTTGGCCCAAGTATATTTGGCCCTTAGGCAAGCAGTATCCTGACTATGGTGTAACCAATCAGACTCCTTGTCAGGAACAATTAGCATAAGTAGCACCGCTGCTTTTCTAAGCGGCTCTTTCATGACAGCGTCAAGGATGGATAGATTGGAAAACTGGAAAACAATTCCTAACTAAAATGTCAGTTTAGTCCATTAAAAAAGGGATTACATTGTTTGCGGATACATTCTTATGTAAAGGGAAACTGTATGTTAGTGTAAAATAAAAGTCATCGGCACAACTGCAATTGTAAAAATGCCTGCATTACATTTTTATTATCATGAAACTGATTTCATTGGGAATTCTGAAGTCCAATGTCTGATAAAGTTCCAACTATGACAACAGAATGTAGATAAGCTGTTATTTGTTTTGCTTTTTTTAATACTGAATTTTTTTCAAAGAGGACAGATGTCCACCTGAGGGCTAGCCAAATGAATCATGTAGGGCCTTCATAAAGAATCATTCCAGGAGAAAAGAGCTCTTATTGCAGGCACCAAATAACATGAAACTCAAACAAAAAGATTTTTGCATTACTTAAACTAAAAGTTGAGTACAAATAAGAACGCATTATAGGGAATCTTACTGAACATCATTCAACTGAGTTGGTCAAAGGTTACTTCAATGTAAATTATATCAGTAAATTTGTACAAATATGAAAATGTGACAATTTCAATTCAAACTCACCTGTTCCCTGGCAGGCCCTCTGAGTATTTATTATGAAGACAAGAACTGAGCACATTGAGACAGGCTTGGGTGCAGAAATTCTGTACAAAAAAGATAAGCAAGTATTTCACCATATTTGATACTTCAACTTTGACCTCTCGGGGGGGGGGAGCAGCAGGGATACTGATGTACATGCAGTAACAAAAATACATAGTTGATGTGTTCAACAGATTTTTTTTGGAATATAAAACTGCAGGTTAAATGCTAATTTGAATTTGATCATAGAGCACCCAGCATCTGTACAACTACACTCAACAGCGGCGTAAAAGCATCCAGCCTGTGACTTCCTGAGCTGGTTAACAGGAAACTATGGAAAGATGCATATCTCATGTGTATTTTTATAGCACTCTTTTGCCCGGAACAACAATAAAGACTGCTGGTTATAAGACTCTGGTAAATGTTGAATAAATGTTTCACTGAAAAAATCCTTGACTACATGGTTTAAATCTGAACGTACACAACATGACAAGTGTTCATAAACAAGAAAAATTTGGGGGCTTAAGGTAATTTAAGAAAATTTGCCACCCTAATTACAAAAACAAAGTAAGCCTATCCCTGAACTTGTAAACCTGCCTTTATTTGCTCACAAAAATGTCCGCTGACCTACCTCCGAGGCAATGAGTTCAAGACCTCGAACTTGTCGTCGTTTCTCCTCCCTGATCAGAGAGAGAATTTCAGGGTCCACCTCGGTGAGATTTTCCTGGCCTGTCCATTCAGGAACTCGCTCACTCTCTAGAGTTGCCTGTTGGCCATATGCTGCTCTGCATACCTGGGAGTAACATGCAGAACTCTTATTTGAAAGATGTGATCCCTACAGCTTTGACATGATATAGAAATTGTTCAACAGAAGCATCGCAGTGCATATTTGGTTGTCTACATGATCATTTTTATTTTGAGAAAACAACAAGATCTAAATATGAAAATTCAATTGTCAGCATTCAAATTTTTGGAACAATCCTGCAGTTTGATGAGTTGTGCATATCTGAGCTACTGGATTTAAAACCACTGTACAAGTGACCTCATGTCAAAATGCCACTAAACACTTTGAACAACAGAAACAGATGTTCATCGTGCATTTTTTAAACCGGCAGACCCGATCTTGAACATTTACAACTTCAAAATACACAATTAGGCAAATGGCTGGGATGTAAGAAAAAAGGAAACATGACTTTGTAAAGTGTTTTGTAGTATTTGCAACAGCACCCAGGAATAATGAAAGGTAATCGCCTGATCAAATGAAAAACAATAGGAGTATATGACTTGAGAATGTAAGCAGTTAGGCCAGTTAAAAAAGCAGTTTTTTAAAATTATTAAAGGGGGAGGAAGAATTCCCTTTTGATGGCAGATTGTTCCAACTTCAAAATAATGGATGCATTTTCTCAACCCCTCAATACCTTTGTCTCCGTGAATTATGAATATGCTTATTAAACAGGTTCTGAACTTGCATACATAGATTATCATAGCTACATTCAGAATATTGCAAATGAAAAATACAAAGGATAAACTGAAGAAAAAAACCCCCAAAAGTAGGAAGGAGGGAACATTTGATGGAAACCCGAGAAGCGAAACAAATTTATTTCTCTACGTGACCACGATGTTGAGAGCAAAATGTGCCCAAGGAAAAATAACACAGACGCATCTCAGCCTGGGAGATATACATGAAAAGAAAAACTAATCTCTAGCACCTGGGCCCATGTAGCACATGAAAGAATTAAAGTCCGTTTGTTTTTAATGTGAAAACCAATTTTCAAAGTTTCAGAAATGTGACAACCAAATTTGTCATGAAAAATGTCGAACATACGAGTAGAAACCTCCATCTACAAACACCAAGGCAAGTCACAGCTACAGCCTATCATGTGTAGCATACGGTAATTCGACGGACTGCAGTCATTCGATGAAAAAGACAACTTACATTCCGTGCGGTAGGCACCACTGAAAGTAGCCGACTCAGCGAACGTGAGGCCATGATCCCTGCTCAGAAAAGCAATGTCATCAACGGAGCAAAATTCCACCTCGAGAAGCCTGCCACTGCACTGCTGCTCAAGACGAAAGCGTGGACCGACAGCTTGCACGATCGGTCGGTGGTTTGTGCCGCTTTGCACGTTACGAGACAAACCACAAAAATTACACCGCCGTTTAGCTTATCCCGTACTAAATTCAACCATCAAATAACGACAGACCCAGAAATTGTCACAATCAGTGTCCACTCATAAGTTCACTGAAAAAACTAATAGCTCCCGATTCTCTGACCGGATAACTGTCAATGTCGGTACTATCCAGCAATTACAAGGCGGTCGCTCTTGCCGTACCGATTATTGTGCAAAATTGTAAATATGTTCGCGACGCATGCGATGTGGTTTTCGTTACGTGAGCGCGCTCCTTGAATAGTCAGGTTTCCAATAAATCGAAAACACACGTATCCAATGACGAGACGTTTGGGTAACCGATAAAAACAGCAGACGACACTTTCATGAGGATGACGACAATCATTGACACGTGTGACGAACCATATCGATCGATTGTTGGACGGGTCACCTTGACAGCTTTTGACCAACCAACAAAAAAAAAAAAACAAAACCGCAAAGGATGACAAGGCATCACTGATGAAAACAAACCGGATAGTTCCGGTTCCGACAAACTCAGGTTCGTGGTATACCGGTACTCCACCTTTGGGCGTGGCACGTTACGAAAGATGTAAGGCCTGGGGTGGAGGCATTACATGCATTATTCCTCCTTCTAGGCGCTGTTGCCATGACGCTGATTTTGTTGGAAGACCGCAGAAAAAGTCGACACGTAATTTCGAGGTTCAGGTTAAGTTACAGAAGAGATCACTCCCGTATTTTTTTATCCATCCCGAGCAATCGTTGACAGATTATTTTGCCGGATAAAAAAAAAGTGGAACCACCCGTCGCGTTTTCAAAATATTTTGTGACAAGCTCCACAGATATCTTAAGTAAAAGCATGACTTACACATCATCAAACAAAAAAAATAGGACAAAAACAATTCGTATCCGAGGGTCATATATATAAACTACAAGCTGCTTAAAATTTGATTCGACGGATGCAAATTAGTAATGTTCATGCTAATGTCGTCGTTGTCGTTGTCCATTGACGCAGCACTATGTTTCAGCGCGAGCCCGGTTGAGAACCCCCATCAGCCTGTTTGTCCTTTGCTGCTGAGGATGGACTTCAAACTCGTGGCGGATATCCGATACCCAAAAGTTGGTTGTTAGGTAAACAAACATTCAATTGAATATTAATATGTTATCTTGTTATATCACCATGGCATTACGGCGAGGGGGGGTGAACTCTAAAAGCTCGGAGACGTTATGTTGGTTGTCCCTGTACCGTGTTGTTTCCTTCTTTAAATTAAGTCCGTATGTTCATGAAATAAGAGTTACGGGGTCATTTCCCCAGAAATGTATACAAACACTGGCATATAAGTCATTGGTTTTGTATGTAGTGACGACACATCCGTGATTACATCATCAACCGCCGGTTTCAGCACGGTAGCGTAAAAAACGTTCGATAGTAGAGGATTAATGAATATGCATGTGACGTCACCAGAAGTCATGATTAATACATACCACGGAAAAATATGTATGCATAATGCCTAGCAAGCAACGTGTTCGTTGTTCACGGCCACCGTTTTAGCGACAATCATTGCTTTTCACAAGTCTTTTTATACTCTTGCGCCACCACCGCCTACTGTCGCTCCAAAATAGTCATTAGGTCTACATTTGACAAGTTCTCTTCCTACTGTCGCCCCACTACCTTCTACTGTCGCCCCCCTTAGCCTTACCCGTAGGTGCTGTACAGTATGTGACAAGAATATAGCCGTATGACGTCAGGGTTGTGCATATTCATTACACTCTCTACTGTTGAACCTTTTTACGCTACTTCGCCCGCGAATTTTGGATAGTTTACCACTGCTCAACGCCTGATGGCGCTATTCCACGATATTGTTGCGATTGTGGGATGAAGCGTTGGACTCACAGGCACAGTCTTCCACTTTTATTTTCTACACAAACCCTTCCAAACTGCCCTGCTTGGTTGGTGCAGGAAAAATAAACAGACTCATTATTTTTCAAATAAAATGCGCCAAAAATAAGGCCTTTCAGTGGCCACTCAAGGTGAGGGCTACAGGAGAAAGAAAGAGAAGGTGAAAGAGAAAAATAAGGCGCGTCATGTTCATCTTGAAATAATTGTTCACCATGTTCACACATGTGAACTGGAAACAGGATGAAGACAGAGAAGTAATTCCTAAGCAAAAGAGTAAGTAAACAAGAGCTGGTAGATTACAAGTTGAAATCGGCTTTGGGAATTGGTACTGCATGTAGACATAAGGTGACTGGAGTGAGGAGCGAAATACATTTGAGACAGCGTGTATACCATGTTGCTATCGTGCGCTGTCAGCTCTCTGCGTGCTCTGTTGCTTGGGGTGGGGATGAACAAGCGGGGAGGGGGGCATAGGGGCCTCCCCCCCACCATTTGAAATCTGTGCATAATCTCCTTTGGATGTATATAGCTATGCCGTTGCAGCTTATTTTCTTGTAGTGCCCATTGTTGTGTGTACACCCGGGTGCCCCGGACATTTTGCTGCTACCGTTTGTGTTTTCCGTACAAAATGTAACAGTTACATTTCAAGCTTTATAGCAGAGGGTGTTTAATGAAATGAAATCAAGGTCTAATTGAATCATTATGTGATGCAAAATCTAGACGACAGCGGCCACACCCCTGCCCTGTATTATTGTGCTTAATGAGACTGCCTCCCAGCGTTAGCAATATCATGGTAAGATGCCATTCGAGTCTAGTCGAGGCACGTAATTTTTATACGTATACTGACTGCTGTTTTCCTTGTTCTGAGTCATTAACTGAACACTTGGAAAGAATTAAACTGTGATCACTTCTCGAGCAAAAATGAATAATTTATAGAAGCTAACTTGTAAAACTCATGAAATTGAAGGCGAATGGTTCTTGAAACAACTGCTTTTAAGATAAATGGATACAGGTATTTCGATTACACTGCGATAATGGACAATAAAATTGACATCTGCTTTGTTTTTGTTGTTGTTATTGGGTTTTTTTTGGGGGGGCTCTGCGTTTTGGGAGGTGGTCACACAGCTGTAAATCAGTTCTATTCGTCCTCACGATCGGGAATACACGTAGATGTACAATGTAAGCCCAACTTCCATGCCTCGGGATAATGTTGGGCACGATCGGTCAATTACTCGCCCCGCGCGATTGGTAAATCAGGGAGCAATTACGCGAAATGGGTAAATCCTATATGAAACGTTCAACAATTTTTTGAAACAATGTCCCACAACCACAAATTTGACAGAATATGCGACTGGCTGATACCAGAATAATCGAAATCTCGAACAATTGCAAAGATCGGCCGATTCCGCTCAACAAAATATTCCGTGAAATGCAGCCTAGCTTGTCGATTACCATTCACTTTTATCCAGCAGCGAAATATTTTGGGTCCATATTTTAATCCTCGGCTCAAAAGCCATATTTACTGGCAAACTAGATCCTTGCTTCAATTCTTAAACCGACATCTTCCTCACCATGCGATTTGTTATGCTGGATCCACCTGAAGTAAACTTCAGTATCTTAAGTGCACATCACGACGACGTGGCTGGGTCGAATTACGACATAACCTACATTAAGCAAATTAAACTGTGTGACATTCGTACAACCCATTTTCAATTACCATTTTAGTTATATAACATTTATGCCACACATTACCAGCTGGTTATGACCCATAAAGTCACACGTACCAAGCCTCGTCCAACTCGTTCATGGCCATACGCGCTATATACTTTATTATATTGAAACTGCAGTTTCAAGGACGGAACCACTGAGCTACGGACACTTACTTATTAAGCGACTTACCTGACACGATCGAGTTGTGGGTGGTTGGTAAGATTTTGCTGGACTCCGTCCATCATGATTTCATTCCTGGTCTAAATAAATCACAGTTGAACCATGTACTGTGGCCAAAATTAGTAGAAAGGGCAAAAGAAGGCGTACATAGGCCTAACAAAACACCTGTCCTCCTCAGTCGCACCCATTCCCCGGCGGCCAGCCACACCTGAGCTCGATCCCCTCGAAGAAACTAAACATTCTAAACAACGATCATTTGTTGGCATTTGTTGTGTTTTCTATGAAAAGAGGATTAAAAATAATTTGACCTATTGGAATTTTTGCTTCAGTGGACATTAGCAGCTGTGATACATATATTTGGTAAAATGTTGATCATGTTCTTTGTATGTACATCACACAAAGTTGCCCCCCAAAAAGTCTGTTTGAGCGCGCGGTGGACGGCTTGAATAGTTAGTGGTTGTATAACAAGAAAACAGCCGTTGTACACATGCATGAATAACCGGCGTGTTCCCTGCGCACTGACCAATAGGAGCGTTCCTGAATAAGTTATTCATTGTTTGGACCAATCAACATCGCAGTACTTTCATTCATTCATAAGTTCCGACATTTCCATCATGCAGTGCAGTAGATGTGGCGCCACATCCAGCATGGAATCAAAACCCAGCTGTGAGCTCGTTGCGGTCTCTGTTGCTCGTTTGACGATTAAGGAGTCCGAACGTACTCTGGGAGCCTGTCAGTGTTATTGCTAACCGAGTTGTACATTTTTGTTTCCCAAGAAAATCATTGTATTTTCATTCTTATCGATATGAATGGACACAGGGTTATCAATTTTGCTGCCGGACCAGCTAAGCTTCCAGAACCGGTAAGTGTTTATACTTGGAATGGCTTGCTCGTTCGAAGCGCGCGCCGCACTCAGTCAGGCGGGCCTGGCTGCATCAGCTGTCGGCGCGGCCGGGATGTGTGTTGCTCTAGGCTAGTGTTGGCAACATCCTGATCATTCTTATTCCCAAGTACGAGGCTGTTTAGGCTAATCCATTACGTCCCTACCCTTTTTGTCCCAAGCACTTGTCTTTGTTTTCTGATTTGAAAAGGAAAGAATTCAGTTTGATGCTACGTTGTACAGAATTTAGCTGTGTAATAACTCAAAATGATGACGACAAAAAACTTCTTAGCAATGCTGCAATGTGGAACTCAGCTTTTTAGCTAGTTTCAGCTTTTTTGTTTAAATGTTGAACCTGAATTTCAGAAGTATGGAAATTTTTTACTTTTCAGCTTTTTGCTAGCTGTTTTCAGCTTTAATTTTAAGTGGCCACTCCTATCCCAGAGAGAAGAAAAGTTTAGTTTATTCATGTTCTGAAACTAAACTTGTTTTCTGTAGGTTTTAGAACATGCACAAAAGGAGATGCTAAACTACAATAACATGGGCCTGAGCATGATGGGTAAGAATATTCATCTTGATGTTGAATGTTGAAGAATCTTAATCACAGACACGACAGTAATATGAAAACACAATTTATGATTTATTTCTAGTCTACTGCCTAATTTGAATAGATTGCTGTGTAAACTGAAAAGATGAGTTTATTTCTAGTTGATAAAGACAAGATACAGTCTATCACATTTAAACTTTCCTTTCTGGTAGAGTATTCAAAACTTTGTCATCATTTTATCTTAGAACTGAGTCATCGTTCGGCTGAGTTTTCGAAAATTGTCCATGAAACACTTCAGGATCTCAGAGATTTGCTGTAAGTATTGCGTTCTGTCTTTTGAAGGATAGAAAGAAAATTTTAAATTTGTCATTTCTCACTCTACATTTTATTTAGGCCTAGTCAGCAAATTGAAAATACATGAAAATGTTTAGTCTTACAAATGTTGTATCTGCAGAGATATACCAGACAACTACAAGATTCTACTTCTGCCCGGAGGGGGCACTGGACAGTTCAGTGCTGTTCCCATGAACCTGCTCAGAGGAGGTTCAGCCGACTACATCATAACCGGAAGCTGGTCGGCAAAGGCTGCTAAAGAAGCCGAGAAATATGGCAAAGTAAATGCCGTCTTCCCCAAGCTGGACAAATACACCGGTGAGTCTGGAATTGATGGCTGTCTAGAGCATAGATATTTGATTTGTACCACAAATTCCAGATTTGATCCTTGAATTGGATATTTCAATAGCTTTTGAAGATATCTGGCTTATCACTAACTCAAATAACTAAACATGAATTGTTTTTTCTATAATTTTTTCCTGAGTTGGTTTTTTTTATTTTTACTCTGAAAAACATCTTTCATGTGGTGTTGATTTCAGTAATTCCAAGCCAAGACAAGTGGAACTTGAATCCTGAAGCATCCTATGTCTATTACTGTGACAATGAGACGGTACATGGTAAGCACAGAATGAAATTCCCTAAATGAAAATTTTTTTGGTAAAAATACTCTGTGTAGCTGTGCACATTTCCTGCTACAATTGCATAATTGTTTGCACAAATAAATAAAACTGTATTCGTTGCAGTTTCTACTGTTTCTATTGGTCGCTGATGTTTATGTATTATTATCGGTCTTATACATTGTTCTTCTAATTAAACAAATGACTTAACAAATATATTTATTTTCCATTTCAGGAGTTGAGTTCCCATTTGTGCCTGAGACGAAGGGAGTGCCTTTAGTCTGTGATATGTCTTCAAATTTCCTTTCCAGACCTGTTGATGTATCAAAGGTGAATTTCCTTTATTTCTAGAGAACCATATCATAGCCAACACTGGACTTTTTACAGTGTTATTTTCTGCATTGCTTAAATGTACATGGACTTATACTAAATGAATCCATGGTCTTTTCAAGTTAACCAAGGCTAGATTAGGGACACATTTGTGTGTTTTTAATATTTTTTTCTAAATGCCACACGTTCCAAGAAAAGAAATCTGGTATGTTTCCATTTAGAAATAAAACTTTGTGAAGTGTTTTGCTCTTTTTTTAGGAGGAGGGTTGGAGATGAATACATGTAGTATGATTCCAAATTCTGTGTTTAACTTGTGACTAACTGGTTTCCGATGTGATTTTGTGTTCAGTTTGGTCTGATTTATGCCGGTGCCCAGAAGAACATAGGATGTGCAGGGGTAACGGTCGTTATCGTTCGGGAAGACTTGATCGGCCATGCCATCAGGGAGTGTCCAGTTATTTTTGACTACAAAGTGCAGGTTGGGAACAATTCGCTGTACAATACACCACCAACATACAGGTAAGCCACGTTGAAAAACTTTGTTGTCAAGCTTTGAAATTGTTCATGTCTGTGTATCAAGCGTCACGTACTTTATGAAGTCAAGGGTGCCGTTGACTGGTTGTGTTTGTGTGTGAGTGTTCCTTTCAGTAACACTAACAGCTAGTTAATGAGCCATTAAGTGTGAATTAGTGATGAGGCGGCAGATACCAGCACTGTTATGTTCCAAGAGAGGGCACGTTGAAGTTTACTGTTAATATTTCAGGATGAAAAATTGCTCTTTTTCATTGGCACGAAGTATGAACAGGATTTAGTTCTCATGTAATGTGCTTTATTTCCTCATGGAACTTGAGAAATTGGTGGAGTAGCTGACCTACATGTATTCCCTGTCTTAACTTGAGCTAACTTCATTCTTTTTTCCAGCATCTACATCATGGGTCTCGTCTTCAAGTGGCTGAAGGACCAAGGTGGTGCAGCCAAGATGGCAGAGTTCAGCCGCATCAAGTCCCAGTTGATCTACGATGTCATCAATAACTCGGACGACTTCTATCACTGTGCCTTGGAAAAATCTGCCCGTAGTCGCATGAACGTGGTCTTTCGGATTGGGGGTAAAGACGGCGTTGACGAACTGGAAAAGAAATTTGTTGAAGAGTCACAAAAACTTAACATGGTGTCGCTGAAAGGTCACAGGTAAGAACATTTACAATCTCTCCTACCTCAACCAAACCTTGTTTCTAGTATATAACGGTCAAACTTTGCCCCACGTACCACTTGGGCTGCAGCTCCAAATGTGATAGTTTAGGTGTATGAAATGCATGTTTTGATATTTCCTTGATCAGTAATTGATGCCTGTGCTTCATGGTCGATTAATTTTCTGTTTGTGATGCACATTTTTGTAAAAAGTCCATATGGATAAAAGATTTAGGATTTAGGATTTGTTTAGCAAACTGACAAGATATATAACTAAGTGATGATGACAATTAACTTCAGACAGAAATACTTGGAGTTTGAATAGTTTCCGGTGTACCTTTTGACACAATATTTAAGTATCACCAACAGAATGGAGAAGCCGTTATCATGAATTTATTTTCTTGGTGGCCCTGTTCTGTCGTACAGGTCAGTTGGAGGAATGCGTGCTTCGTTGTACAATGCCATCACTGTTCAGGAGGTCAACAAACTGACAGACTTTATGCTGGATTTTATGGCCAGGCACCGATAAAGACCCTCGCCCACAGAACTCTACTTGAACTGTTCAAAGATTTTATATCAACGAGAGGCCAAAGTTCCCCCAAGATGGACATCGAGAAGTTCTTCCAATCCTATCATCAGCTGTTTCCAATTCATTTGTTTCTCCACTGTTCTACAAGTTTTCTACGTAGCGTACATACTATTAGCATTTGAACAGTGTACTCCTCAGTTTATCAAAACCCCCCCAAAAAACGTTCAGCAGTTTGCAGCGTGGTATAGAGTCATGAATTGGCTACTCAGAATTCAACAAGAACCCCCCACCCCCATCGAAAATTGTAGTTGCTACATGATTGAAATGGATCGTCTCTCACTGGTTCATGCATTAACTTTTTTTGGCTGTAACAGTCACAAGACAGTCAAAAATTCCTTCCATTTGGTGTGCCGCAGTACACAGACACAAAGGGGTTATTTGACTGATAGGACAACTTTGTCAAGATTGCATCTTGGCATAGGAGGCTTGTAAAGAAGAAAAATTTCAACAACCAAAGATCATTTGCATTTGTAACTAAAGGTGTAGATCTACCCCCTGTATTTAATGTCATCAATTTCTTTTCGATGTATTTTTGAACGGCCAAAATACACTGAAAAATTGTACTTGCAGTTAAAATTTCTTAATTTATTCAAATGCAAGTGTTGCAGTGGACGAAGCTATGTAAGCAGTGATCGCTGACTCACCCAGTGTTGGTGATGCGATACCTTATGTTCTCGATACAGTCATGTGAGCACCATACATGGTTGGGGCGGTTCCAGTACTTTTCCAATCACTCCGGTATTGGATGATAACCAGGCCAAATAGCAGCCTGGAGCTAGCCAGGTTCCTGCGAGTTGTTGAACTCCGACCTTCCGGGACTGTGCTTTCCCTAGATCTGTCTCTTGCTACCGGGGCAGTTAGTGTTGCATTTGTGCATTATCAGTCAGTGCTCATACTTGGGGCGTCTTGTAAATAAAAGGTCACCCACTTTTATTTAGTATAAAAACGGCTTATGTTTTTAAACACGGTAGAGATAAGATGCTTTACGAATTGAGAACCGAACAAAGAAAGGATGGTAATGCTAATTGTATTCTACTCTTCTCACCCCATGGAAAACACCAGAGACAAATCAGTTGTGTAGATGTGAAAATGGCAAAATAGTACAGAATTGTAGCCAAAACGGAAACATCACCCACATTAATATGTACATATAGTCGTCGGACCTCAAACCTATTTTACAAGACAAGAATTTATGCACGGTGCCTATAAAACTTGGAAAAGTGCCATAACCTTTGTATTAACCAGATATTGGACTATATACTGGTGTGTCGAGTGATCCGGTAAAGGGGAACTCAAATATTGTACTTGATTCCAGTCCAGTCACAATGTTCTCGGTTGCTTTGACGCAAGTGTGAGTTTTCTGTAATAACTTGTTGAGCACTGTAAGAACCTGTTTGAAAATGTGGCTGTCATGATATTTTTAAAAAGTATTTGTGTATTATGTTATGTACATAATTCAATGAATGTACATTGTGGATGCTTTGTTGATTAGCAGGTGTGCTGGCTGGTATTTGTTAACAAGCCAAAAGGGTTTTTACTTAGGCTTGCGGGTCAAATGGCAAAAATTTCATGCTTGCTATCGATAAATCAGCGTGGCTGAAGGTTTGAGGTTTACATATATACAGCAGTTTTGTGAAATTCTAACTTGAAAAACAACAAACAGTTACTGCTGCTTCTAACTTACATAAGAATTTTGTACGCAAAATATGCTGCATGAAGTTTGCCATATTTTACAAGTTGATTCTAATAACTATTGGATGTGAGATGTGCTTTTTGATCCAAGCTGATCTTTTAAAAAGTAGCATCTTTCTATTTACAGCTATCGTGAAATTTGAAAAAGAGTAACATAATATCTGCCACAATCAAATTGTGATTTTAATATTTTGTTTCAGTCGATGTATTCTTGAATGTAAAAGATGTTCTATTTTTGGAAATATGGAGACGCGAATATTGCGTTGCTTGAAAGTTATTGTTGCAGGTGGCTTTGTATCTGGTTAGTTAACGTCGGTAGACACATTTTGCTTTAATTTGATTTGAACTAATTAATTTGATTTTGGACATGTTTTTAGATCTATACATTTAAAACTCATCAAATGGTGGAAATGAAAAAGTCTGATTTAATTAACCTGTTTGACCTGCACGCGTGTGGCAGCTCAGAGTATTTTCTATTCAGTGTAAAAAATTACCCTAAAATGTGGCATGATTTTGATGCGCACAAAAATATATGAAAACTATCGCAGAACCTCAACACTAATTGTTGAGTTATCACGAACCGACGCCTCTAACATCTACTTGTACATTGAAAGGTTCCACAACCTTTTCCAGGGTATAGGGCTTTTTCCCAGGCGTCTGACCTTCAGCTGAAATAGCCGTTTAGTGAGTTGACACATTGCACTACTTAGCAACTGCTATCGTTATTTGTATTTGTGCTAAGCCTATCGCTTTTTTATCGAAAAGATGGTTAATCACGATTCAGATGGATTTAAATCGATAAAAAGTTGGTTTGCGTAAAGGTAGGGGTTTGTTCAAACGACTAAGAACGAGCATGTTGCAATGTCCGTGTACTTCGTACAAACGTTTTGAGTTTCAGTATGCAGTATTATAGAAACGAGGAAACATTGTGAAAACTTGACATTTTTATTTTATCGGTGGGTCATAACTGTTTATAAAAAGTTTCAATAGAATGTGAAAACCTGATAAAATAGTTTCCTGTGTATGTCATGACATTGCGTCCCCGTATACGAGTCATCTCTTTATAAGACTTTGAAGACGACGGTACATGACATAATATGTACATTCATGTAATAATTTTATGGGAAATAAGGCGTCCCAAGAAATATTTACCCCACCCCCTGGTTCTAAAACCGTCCTTGAATTAGTTTGGATGTCCTACGCCTGTTTCCTGTTCACATTTATATACATGTAAATACTACAGTTTAAAGTTCATAAAATCCAAACTGCTACACCTCTGAAAAGTTCTAGTTGTCGATGAAATAACTATAAAGCGCTTCTCGATGCTTTGAAGTTCCTTGAAATTTGTTCGAAGTTTCTGTCTCGCTACAGGAGTAATTCAACCAGCGCCCACAGAATTTCATCAAATTAGTCATCAAAATCATTTTTGTCCTGATTAATGTTGTAAGATCTTATCGACTCATAAAATTCACATGCTATTATGTCGACTATAGCGTGATATTTCGGTGTTGATGAAAACCGGCTGACCTCACAGCGTGACGTGACGGTCTTGTTCTCAGCATGTTGACTTCAACGAAGTTTTTTTCGCTAGTGGAGCTTTGTCACACCATGGAACTGTGTTAAATTGCTCGATGGAAACACAAACCACGTTCTCCCACTGAGCTTTACAGTTCGTCCATTGATTTGGTTCATTGTGCAGTAAAAAATACATGTATGCTTCACGAATTTCAGTTGCAACTCCCGATTTCTACGAGCGTTTGCATTCTGGTGATCAACACGTACAGTATATACTTTCACTTAATAAAAGACGACCCCAAAATTGAAGACCATTAAGAAATTGTACCACCTCAATCTGTTATCCCACCTAAACTCTCTCATTTTATTTTTATTGAAATTGAGTTGTTCAAAAATTAGACGATTTTTAATTCAATTTCAGATGACGATCGGAGTTATTTACACCCGTTAGAATTACGATGTGCTGGGTTGTATGGCTCTTTCTAAAACCCCTGCTGTGTTACTTTGAATGGCCTTCGCTAGCTTCCTGATTTTAGAATTTAACCTCTCGATTTGGAGAATTTTAGCTCAATACAGATCTCCTTTAAACTGTAGGAACATTAAATTGTGAAATATAGAGCCACGGTTTTTAGCGTTTTTGTTTGGTTTGAGCAGTAAAGCTCGACAAATATAGATGGGTAAAAAGCACTCTTTACGAAGCCGTAATTATTTTGAGAAACAGCATTGGGAGTTGAACAAGCGCCCTCAATTGTCTTGATTTAGCAAATCGTCAGTTCTATACAAACTTGACTGTAAGTTAGTGTTTGGTTTGGGATTTCGTCGCAAGATGTCAGAGGAAAGTATGCTGGTGTCATTAATTGACTGTGTAAATTTTGCTGCAATGAAGCACTCGAAACAGAGAAGAAAAGATCCCGAAAAGACGCCGTATATCAACCATCCCATTGGTGAGACTGAGTGAGAGAATAAACAATTGTCTTGACCGCTGACGTTAACTGGTTAAGGTTGGATTACACACCTGCGCACGTTGCGTTGATCATGTGTCGATAAAGTAAAGTAAAATGTTTGGCTAGTACCGATAGATGAAACATCTATGCGGGCTGAGTAAATGTCACCAAGTTTATGATGATTATATCCTCACAAAAGAAGCTCAAAAGGTAGACCTACTATCACCACTAAGCGTATTTCAACAGTTTACAGTCACTGCTATGACGATCCCATCCAAAATCGTAAAAGAGGAATACTAACGCTACACTAACTTCGCCCCATCCTCACGTCGGCCCATCTCCACTTCGCCCCATCCCCACTTCCCCATTTCCACTTTGTCGTCTGTTTTGAGTGTGTTACAGGCCTCTTACAAAAATGATTGAGGAGTTCTGCTAACGACATGAAACAACATGTAGTTATTATAAGAAAACTCTACGGCATTAAATTAATGTCACCTGCGTTGTCCTTTATGGTGAATTAATGCATACGGTTGGACTAGCATCAGGGTTATTTCTCATCCTCTTCAAGTTTATTTCAAAGCGACACACACAATTCTGTTCACATCCTTCTGGTAATTGTCGATGCATCCAGACAGCGGTACCCGGGCGATCAGATAAAGCTCAGTGCGCAGGAAATTTGGTGGAAACACGCTCGCTTCAAGTACGAGCAAAACAACCTAAAATTGATGAAATAAATAAATACACACGTAGACAAGATTCTAAGAATTAATGTGAAGAAATCTTGCAAGCATTGATTTTTTTTCGATGCGAGATGGATCAGGTACACGAACGGTCGCCGTGGCATGAATAGACTGGTCACCACACTCCATCACGCATTCTCTTACAAGGGTGCGGCGCGCTTTGTGCTCGTGTTTTTACCACAGTGACAACAAAACACAAAGAAAACTTTTTTTCTAACTTGCCAATAAAAATTTTAGGGCCTTGCCAAATAATTTGGGTCCGGCGGTCGGGTAATCGGAATCATTGTTTAGGCCTTTGAATGTGGGATTATCTGATCATTATTTGGGTACTCAAACGTCGATGTTTTACTCATTGCATCTAGGCCTACTGAAGAACAGAATGAACGATATTCAATGGGGCGAAGTGGAAGTGGGACGAAGTGACCGACACCCATTTCAACAAGCAGAGATATTTTTGTGCTCTTTTGGGGACTTATTACATGTCCTAGGAAATTAAACAGATTGTCATATTTAAAACTTTCAGGTGTGGCGAGAATCCTTGCGAAGGAGGGAGGGATTTCTGATCTAGCTACCTTACAGGTATGGTGAGTTGATTTTAGAAATGATAAGAATGAGATTCCTAATATTTCCCCGACTTTACTAAACCTGATGATACCTTCAAATAAGTACCCACCTCAAGAAAATCTTTTTAAACTTTATTTCCCCCCCCCCCATTCCTCTAAAGTGAATGCACTGTATGGAGCAGCGCAGATAGGCGGGAGTTTTACAAAATGGCGGGTAGCAACCATATCGCACCAATGAAAACAACTGCAACGAGTGCGCGTGTTGGACTGATCAAAGAAAAGATTGTTGCTGTTTTCATCGGCGGGGTACCTGCCATTTTGCAACTGCAACGAGTGCGCGTGTTGGACTGATCAAAGAAAAGATTGTTGCTGTTTTCATCGGCGGGGTACCTGCCATTTTGCAACTGCAACGAGTGCGTGTGTTGGACTGATCAAAGAAAAGATTGTTGCTGTTTTCATCGGCGGGGTACCTGCCATTTTGCAAGAATCCCAGATGTCCGTGCTGCCCCATATATAGCTTTTATAATGACCCTAAAAGAAATCCAAATTTTAATATTTTAATAATTATAAAATGTGAATGAGTTTTGTGGTTGATTTTGTATCGATATAAATTAATAGATAATAACGATAAGTGAATATTAATTTAGGTGGAGGTTGAATCTGGATCCTTGTGTAGGCACATTAGGCACACGTAGTAAAGAAGTGTTGGACTTGAAATAGCATTTAGTTTTGTCAATTTGTGTATGCTATAAAGTCTTTCTTTCAATAAAAGTACAAGCAAACTGTTGCATAGTAAAGGTTTAGTTTTTCCTTTGTTTCAAGGATTTTATCACTAGCTCAGGTGTCACGAATTTAAGTAGTGAACTAGGAATAAGGACTTGGAGAAATTTGCTCAGAAGATACACTCTTTGCCTTGACTATAGGATTGGAGGGGATAATATTTTGTAGATGCACTTATCTCTGGACACTGTGATCCAATTTCTCAGGCTGCTGTTCTTCATGACACTGTGGAGGACACGGACACCACCTTTGAGGAGATCGAGGTGCACTTTGGCAAAGAAGTGCGCGACATCGTGGCAGATGTCACGGACGACAAGACCCTTCACTGGCAGACGCGTAAGGACCTCCAGGTCACCAACTCACCCTTCATCTGCCCCAAGGCAAAGCTGGTCAAGCTGGCCGACAAATTGTACAACCTGCGAGATCTCGAGAGAAGCAACCCGGTGGGCTGGACCAAGGAGAGAGTACAGACCTACTTTGAGTGGTCGGCCAAAGTGATCAACGGTATCCGGGGCACTAATGAGAACCTAGAGAAGGAACTCGACAAACTCTTCAAGAAGCGAGATGTTTTCCCAGATGGCATTTAAATTTGCTGTTTTTGTGACCATATCTGTGTGCCTCATTAACATTTAAATTAATTTTGAGTCACATTCCTTGACGCACAACTTTTGTCGATGAGAAATTTTGTTTTCCATTTACATATCATGTAATATGGACTGAGAAATATTTTCATTCAACTGACACAAGGCTTTCGTGTGAAGAATTAAGATGAGCAAACAGGCAAAAGATATAAAAAAAATACCCTAGCAAGCACATAAAATATAAAAAAAAATATTTTTTTATATTAAAATAGCTTAAATATGGCTGCAATATTTTTATATTTTTTGGTGAATTCCTTTAGGTTTTTAGAGTGGTGATTTTAATGACTGTTAATGTGATAGGTTTTTGCTGTGTAAGCCATTTTTAATGGCTTATTTTAATAATATACATGTATTGCTCATCATGAATATGTGATAAAGGCTACTAAGAAGCAAGATGCATCAGATTTACCAGTAATTTTATACCCTGCTGTGTGCATGCTTTTTTGACTAGTTTCATTTGAAAATGAATTAGGAATTCAACTTTTTTTACTTGATCGAAATAGTGTTTATTTTATGAAATATGGCAGTAGGTTGGGGTAATTATTGGTTGCCTTGGAAATGTTGCAAGAGTGAACGACCTTTTTAGGTTTTTTCCGAGATGACAAATTTTTCAAACTTTGGATGTGGTGAACTTCCGGCTGAGGTTGGGACATACAAATGTTGAATCTTGTTTCTTTACTAGTACTGAAAAGAAAAAATCAAGGCCATGAAAATTATGCCATGAAACACGCTTAAGAATTTCTTCAGTAATCGGGTAGTTTATTTGTGAAGGACATTTTTGTCCCTCGGCCGGTTGGTTCTGTTCCCGTCTCTCCGGCTCCGGCGAGAAACTGTAATGCTGACCCCTTGCACTTGATACGTCCTGTATTCATGATAGCGCCCTCTCTGGATATTCTGTTTATTGGGCTGGGCACGCGTGATTGTGGTGTAGGAGTCCGATGTTCGCAGGTGAGTTCCGTCTTTCCCCGGAATGGTCTGAATTCTTCTGCGTTATCAGCACCGTTGATCTCAATTTTATGAAGGATCAGGGGGTACACGGAACCTACTACACGGCCTAGTGGTGGACACTTCAACTGGAAGCTCCACGCCATAAAAACGAAACACTTTGTTGGCGAGTCGTCTTGAAGTAGGCCCACTGAATCATTGAATGAATCGCACAGGTGGTCTGTCGTTAAGATCTGCGCCTAATACAGTCCGCAATTTGTCTCTTTGCTGTAAATTACGGTGCACAGCAGGTGGTTAGGCTGACGAAAAACGTAGAGGAATATCAAGATTACTTTCTGAAATTGTAGCAGCATTTACTATTGTGGTGAGTATATACCGATGCCGCCCATCAATTTCAGTGGTAGTGCATCCTTTATGCGTGCATCTGATTTCTTTTTCACTTTTCAGGGCCTTCTGATCAAATTGATGCCATTCGAAATGTTGAACACAAAGTACACATATGCTTAGGCTTACTTGGTCCTATTGTCAGTTTGCTTATGAAGTGAAGTCATGATGATAATTTGCACAAATTCAACTACAGAACAATTTGAGGGAAATTTATTAATTCTGCCGGTTTGAGCCTTTGAAAATTAATTTGTTTGGTATGACCTGGGGTTGTGTACGTTTAGCAATGATGTACTAACTCAGCTGGGTGTGGGGTATCTTAGATGAAACCCCCAAAAAGAAATTACTTTAACTGTGGATAAAATTGCTTGGGATGCATGGTTAGAAGTGTCTTAGGGTGTAAAGAGCTTCTCAGATCTCCCCTGTGTTGCTTGTACATATCATATGTATGTGCAGTGAACCAAATCTTTAAATTGTTTCCTTCCTTTACCAGCATGATCAGCCTGCAGGCTTACATTGATTAGAATATCCTTTCACACACTGCAACTGGGCCATGTCAGCCTTACAATGTAACGTTAGATTTCACTCACTGTCCCTCCTACCCACACTGCCACTCCCACACATGAGTGTTTTTCTCTTGACATTTGAAGTTATTTTGGAGAGAGCACTGCATTATTCTTTTGGATTCTTGACTCGAGGCCAAAGAACCATTCAGTAATAGCTGATGCATGGGCAGTAGTTAAATGCCTTAAAAAGAAAGCATGCATTATAACGTTACATTAGTGTCAATGCGAATCACGAAAGTAGAAGAGTTGGGGAAAATCCCTAAGAATATTGGGCTTTATGGCGCTTCCTGCCCTCTCAGCTTTTTGTCTTAAATAACTTGATGTCACTTGCAGCTAGGAGAGTTTGTGTTACATGTAGTTTTGATATTGATGACACTGTCGGAACCTTTTGCACTGAGGTATAGTCTGGCTTACTGTTGTTTACATTGAACTCATAATGTGACAGGTTTGTTCCTCTCATCAAATGTATTGCCTTCATAGTTCATGAACACCTGTAATGTTTTTATATTTTTGAGTGCCGCAGTGACACATGTTGTTCATAGAATCACATTAGCGGCAACTATTAAATTCCAACACTATAATTAAGGAGAAGAGAATTTGAATGGATTTTTATCCTAATACCCAGTAAATAAATGAAATACGTGTTGAAAACTACATGATAAACAAAACGTCTTTTTCAAAAAAAGGTCCATGAATTCTCTGAATGAAAATGATAGAAAATGTACTTCTCACGGTTCCAAATGCTTTCAGCCAGTCGTTCTATTCTTTAGAATATGTATCTCTGCCAACATCACTTTGAGGGTGAAATAAAAAAAAAAGAGTTTAGTTTTTATTTGTCCATCTGATGTATTATAAGAATGACCCAGATTTGTCTGATGTACAACTCTGTCACCAGCTTCAGGCATAAGGGGGGGGGACCACATCACAAGAACCAAATAGGTCTATATTTGTATGCTTAAGGTTTTACTGATGGTGGAAGGGGCAGCTTCCTGCTAGGGTGGCCTAGCCCCCATGGGGCCCCCCTTGGCAACGGCCCGCTGATGTACATGTAGCATAGTATGCCAGGCTATTAATGGTTTCAGCCTTTCCTCTCTGCTGTGGTGCTGTTAATGGTCAGACCAATTTTTTTCTGCACCATCTTTGCACCAAGCGGACATCGCACTCAATGTAGCAAAGCAAAGCGACCCGTGTGTCTATCCACACCTAGTAGATGCAGCATTCCCTCATTATGCGACTGCAGCAATAAATCCAGTCGAGGGTGTCAGGCGAGTGGCTGCGATCGTGCCCAGGACCTTAACATGTGTCTTGCCTGCCAACAGTGTCACAGCTCCTGGATCCATTAACGTCAGGGGGAAACATTGATAAGCAATGTTTTGACCCTGAGCACACCCTTCAAGAAGGTCATACAATTCATTAACGCAACCATTGCAGTGGAGACAATAGAGGGCTGTAGCTGCATGCTAATGATCCCATCATAAAAAAATCCACAGTGAGAATATTTAATTATCACTGACAGTTGGTATGTGCTTGGTGGTTTGAATAAGGATGTGAGTTGCTAATTCCATTTCACAACATGTAATTCTTTGTTAATTCGTTTATGTTTCAGTATGGGGATACCTTGCTCAAAACGATGTGCAAGGAAGAATCTCACTGTAGAAGACTCTTCATGAATTGTCAGATTGACCACAACAAAATGTATGTGTTTGGCATGGACCTGCAGTGGTTTTTTTTCTGGTAGATTTCCATACCATATATGGTAACAAGTAACAACAGCAATCTTTACAATCAAGTAAAAGCATCCATCTTCATTCAATGCAACTGCAACCCCGACTTGGTCCACTTGGAGTGATCTGCTTCTCTCTAGTACACTCCTGGTGAAGTGTTACAGAATCCTGACATCCCAGGTCGTCCCACAAAAGCAAAGGATTAGTTACAGTATGAGATTTCATGCAGAGCAACTTCAACTTTAAAAGTCGCCTTCTTCCCCAAGAGCGATGGAATTTCCTCCTCCACCTCAAAGAGAAATAAATGAAAGCACATTTTTTTGCTTCAGTGCTGAGTACACAAACGGAAAGTGGATTTCAATTTATCTCTGCATATATTTTGTGTACATATTAACAGTCTATTTGTACTTTGGTAGGCATCTGCGTACTTGCCAGTTTCTGTGATATGTGATTCCATGTCATTTGGAGCTGATACAGTAGGTATTGCCAGTGGTATTGATTGATATCAATTAGTCAAAAGATAAGTTTGTCCTGATAAAAGTATATTGGACTTGTAAACTTGCACAAAGCCAGTGTACATGTATGTGTAACCACATGCAACTGAATATGTGCACCGGTACCTACATGTATGTACACAAATCATTGTTGAAGATAAACGCAGATGTCTTCCTTATACACAAGTACACAGATCCCATTAGATCCCAACTTTGCAGACTACCAAATTCTTACTTACTTTTTTACCACAGAAAAGCATTCACAACTGCATTTGTGTACCAGTATTTCAATATTGGACTGTTGCGTACGTGTACAGTATGTTACTGACTGCTAAATTGAAGTGCCTCTCAGACTTGGATTTGAATCTTACCCAGGCAAACAGGTACCGTACAGGTGGATCAATTAGCCTAGATTTTACTTTTTAACCCTTCTTGATGGGTTTTTTAATTTTATATGCCAGATTTTTCTGTATCGTAAAGTAAATTTTTTTATATTCCTGGTTGTTCGGGTCAAATTTTTGAAGAAAATCTTTGCTTACGAATTTGAAATGAAAAGCTTATATATAGCATCATTGTACACTTTTATTCATTTTGCGGTACACCTACGTGCATGTTCACCTAATGGGGAATTTCTGTCTTTGTGTGTGGGCTTGGCACATATGCGACAGTGGTTACTACTGACTTACATGTGCACCAGTCTAACAAACTGATCATCATGCTTGAAGTGCTCCGACAAAAGGGCTGTTACAAAAATTGTGAACAATTGTCTGCAGCAACACCCATTGGCATTGACGGAGGCCGTCTGTGAAAGCCTTTGAAGGGAATGCCGTTGTGCCATTTCCACGTCAGTATAAAAGACTAAAATATATACCACAGCAAATTCATCCATATTGTTACAGTCTAAAGTTGGACTCGTCCCACCTACTGTACATATCACACAACTTCATCTTTTGAGGAGTTAAGATGTTTGCTGGCACTACAGGGAAGGTAAAAATTGTTCAGCATTTTTGGAAACTAAACTTAAATAAACAGTAACTCTACTCACTGTAGACATAATGGACATGTAGCCTACAGTAACCACATAGTGCACATTTCATATTCATGATGAATCAAGTTTTTTCCTCCGTGTATGTGACCTGATACACACCACTTCAATTGTGACTCAACAGTGACTCAGTGACTTCACTTTGGGGCTTTGGATTTAGGCAAGTATAGTGGTTTCAGAGACATTCATAATTGGTTCACATGTGACATGTGACAGGTACATCATAGGGCCCGTACATGCGCATGTATGTCATGCATGTTGTAGAAAGTCATGCCAGTAAATTGTGAGATGGAAATTTTCTGGGTATTTGCACGGAGTAGGGCTAGAATCACATGAGTCATTTTAAGTTGTCTTCAATTTCTTAAATGAAATGTAATTCTGTCAAGGACGGACATGGTCACATGGATGTGGATAATTGCAGATTGAGATTGAATAACCAAGGATTAGAAGTCATTTTGGAATCATACTTGGTACATGAAAGCATATTGACGTGGCTTCTAAATGGTAAGTGTGTAAACTGTACATGTACGTTGTATGTGTTAGTGTGATTTACACATTGGCCTTAATTCCTTCCAAAGAACCTTCTTGTTATTTATAAATCAATGCATGCACGCACTATGCATTTCAAATTGGCTGGTTATTAAACTTCTGAGTTTCATCAAAATACTGCAAAATCAGGCATCGACCATCAATTATCGGGTTGATTTAAATGTGGTTTCACCTGAAAGTACTGGGGATCTACAAGTAGACTGCATTTATCATTATTTGGGGAGGGGGGGACGAGATTTTTCTGTTTCTTTTGTCCCTCACCCTTTATATTTACTCCATGTACATGTACGTGTTAATCCTCTAGTGCGGCCGGAATTTATGCCATTTGTGAACACAAATGGTAAACCACCAGGAACTTCCCTTTAGAAGTAATTATTTGTGCATTCCAAACTCATTTATAAGACTGGTTCAAAATTAACAGGAAAGTGAAAGGCGTGTGGATATCCGGGCGTCAACAATAGTTTAGCGTCAGATTTTTTCCATTGTGCTGTTCAATCAAGCATGAACATGGTTAGGAAGTTCAAAGCACTCGGGCATGACATGTAAAAAAGATTTTTCTCTTCTATTCCTAATATAAGAAAAAGATGCAAGAAAGAAAGACAATCTTTTGAAGTAGGTGGGGTCAGGGTACATGACTTTACCTTTGCACCAGCCTGGAAAAGTTGAGTAAAGAAAGTGGAGAAAAATTCCATGACCTAATGTACTAAAATCAGTTGAGAGATTCCTCAGAAGCCTGGAGGTCAGGTTGGCTCCTAACAAATGTTTACTGGAAATGAACAGGACATGTTAAAAGGGGTGCCCATGGAATTCAACTCAGCAATGACTGATGTTGCAGGTCAAGCAAGTCAACGATCTGCCACTTTATCATGTTGTAGTTATGTGGTGTAGCGGCTGCAAGTAGAAAGCAACCAATGCATGTATTGGACAAATGATAAGAGTAACCAAACAGTTGCATCCTGATGGATTTTGGCAAGTTCTGGTCCCAGTCTGGTTGACACAGGTAAAGTGCCGTAGTAGTTCAGAGTGCACAAAAAGCCATATTTTATTCCTGTTCTCAGAAGTTAATTAGTTAATAAAACGTTAAGCATGCTTATTCTTTTAAAAGCTAAATCACTCTGACTACATTAACCTTGGTGCTAACTACAGCACCTATGATATATCGAAACATAACATTTGGTTAATGTACATGTATTGTAAATTAGATAAAGTGGTCTCTTAACCTTTTTGGTTGGGCTACTCTACACTGAGATCAGGCAAATACATGTACAAATTATAATGTGGTTCTCTCTTCATACCCAAGAGACCTTTTTACTCAACGCACGCTATAGTGGATTTTGTATGGCTCAGTGTTCAACTATGTACATGTACATTACCGTACCATACAAGTGAATATAAGTACTATATGTTTGACCGGAGAGATTTTACCAAAAAAAACCCTGATGTTGTTTTCCTCTTCAAATGGGGAAAATAACTGGAATTATGAGTACATTTATAAATGTGCGTGCTAACAAGAATAAAATTATATTAAGCATGTGAACGCAGTCTATTTTTATCTGGTATAACTTGCATGTAAATAGGCATGTTTCATTGTCTGATTACCAAATGCAGATCAGCGTGCATGTTTGTCATAGCGTAGATTTTGTTGACACAAGTCCACAGTCCAATAGAAGAAGTCACAAAGGTGAATGCCGTCATTGTCAGATAAACTCGGATCGTTGTTTGTCAATTGGTCATTGTAGTGGCTTTTACAAGTCTCTCCAACTGTGACTCGGATTTCTCATATACAAATCCAATATTGTGTGAAATTATTTACTTCAAAACAGACCAGACCTGACCTAGGACAAGCTTCGATGTTTTGTCTGACCTCCCCTGTACTATTATAGATTTAGTTTTGTTATATAATTTAACGTAACATGCACAGTATGGCAGTAAACCTGAAACAAAATTATTACGGAACTTCCTTATGTAATTAAATGCAAATTTGAAATGAAAGCGAAAGATTTAACCCCTGAAAACAGTCCAACCATTCTTTAAAATGGAAGTGTATTTCATATTTGTGTTAGCCCAGTGGGCTTTCTATGAAGTCAGACGCTAATGCACCAAATTGCTATTGTTGAAACTTTCTGTGTGCTTGGCTTTACATGTATCTATGTGGTGGTTCTGGCCACATGTATACATATTTCCATTTTTTCGTTTCAACTTTTCAGACTTCCCTATTCTGGCTCCATTAACGTCATGATAAACCAGTGTTTTTGTAAATTCTCGGTGCATAGGAGCTGCTTCCGATAACATGAGAAAGTACACAGACGTAGATTTCATGAGAGTTCATTAGAAGCAAGTTTTTGTTCACCACAGAGTCTTCAAGTTCATGTGTGTTTAAATGGCCTTTAAACCCTTGGCGTGGTTGTTAGAAATCTTGCTGAATCTGTCATTTGTCAATCTCTTCCGGGGATATATTCATTAAAAATAAGTCATCAAGTCCCCAGAAAACTTGAGTGGCTTTGCTGCTCTTCCCTGAACCTATCCATTGAGACATTGTAAAGAAAAAACCAAATCTATTTGCTTAAGTTTGACAGGAGTTAGGGATGCAATGTAAGCTGTATTTTTTGTTTCACCCAGGAACAGTGGCAAAGTTTGAAACATTACAAATACAGCAACATCATAAGTGTCTCATGAATTGATCCATGCTGCAACTTTTGTATTTTTTTGTTTGGTTTTGGTTGTGATCGCCAGCATGTTCCGAAGTCCGTCATTGATGAAAAGGAAACACATTACGCACAGAGGGCCACGTTTGTTTATCTTACCGTCTGACACAGGCCTGTATGCATTTCTGGTGGCGCAAACAGAATAATTGCCACTTAAAGGAAACTGTTCAGGCATTGATTTGAAATTTCCTGTTTTGATGAGATAAAAAATTTCAGTGAAGGGCAGTCAAGCAAGACTGGGATAGTTCTTCATCTCTATCATAATATCAGAGCCGATTGTATCTAATTCTAATAGGAAACCCAGCAGGACAGAGTATTACTGTACATGCCAGACGGCTTGTGAGAGAAGGGTAAAAGTAGATCCAACTTCTAGCTGGAGAAGAGAACAACTAATATTTTTTAGAAATGATGTTGAAAGTGCATGCTACATTTGTATAGCAATCTTACCAATGCTCACAATTTTTATTTTGTGAGTTCCTTCTCCCGTTCCTTTCATGGTAGCCCTACAACCATAGAGGAAGGAAAACAGTCCTGTTATAGAACTCACATGTAGGCGCTGCTGTGTCCCCTTGCATTCTGTACAATACATGTAGGTCTGGTTCCATTGAAATGTTTTTTTCTCCCCTTTTTTTGGGGGGGGGCACCTGCTGTTGTGTTGTCGCTTTGTGCAGATGAATAAAAGTTTGGCAGAGCTAGTTTACCTTCATTCATTTGCCCATAAAGAAACGGAAAAGCTGCCCATAAAGCCAAGTACAGTAATTCAGTTATTTGGAAGGGTTTTCCGTCTCAATGAGGTGACAAAATTGAGTGTGTGGGTGTTTGCAGGTGGACTGGCCACTCCTTTTTCGCAGGTGAAATCACGGTAAATAATTGTAGTTTTTTTCTTTTTTTTTTTCTTTTTCATGTACATGTAGGTTGTGACTGTATGTACATGTATGCAATCTTGTTACCAGAAAGTGGGTCCACACATGCCTTACATTGTGTTGTCATGGACAACTTAGTCCAGATTTCCTTAATAAAATGTAGTAGAAATCTCTTCCACTATGCCAGTGGGGTCCTGCTTAGAGCACTTGACATGTACGTTAACATACATGTAATTACAAGTCCAGTCTTCCTCTAGTCCAATTTTAAACCCCAGGCCTGCACTGACAATATCAACCAACACTACCTGCTGGCCTAGCATCTGTAATCCCCACCTGTACTATGGTTCAACAGAACCCTGAAGCATTTTTACTTGGAGAGTTGTTAACAATAGAATAGCTTTTTGTTGTTTGTTTTGTTCACATTCTTCAGTTTGGACCTCCAGACTCTTTCCTTTCAGGTCCCCTTTCACAAATGGTCCAGCCTTCACATAAAATCAGTCATTTTTAGTTGTGTTTGGGGCGAGGTGGCAAACAGCCCTGAGTCAGAGGTTACATGTACAGTGTACAGTGTCCCAATGAAAATACACGTCCAACAAAGTACCAGTCATGTGCATGTGCAGTATACATGTATGTTGTTAATCCAAATCAAGGGATATGTTGGATCTTACTAGTTATCTTACAGGTGATCCATTTCATTTCCCCTTCTTTAAAGTCTGTATTTTTTCCCAGGAATCCAGCCATGAGACTGACAATTTTAGACCCACGTACATGTTGCATATTACACACTAAAGTAAAGGAAGAATATTGTCTGGCCTCGCAATTTGTTTATATACAAATTGACAAAATACGCATGTCCCAGCTTGGAACAGAATATTGGGAAATGGATGAAATGTACAGTACCGTATGTACATGTTCTCGTGTAGAATGCCCATTTGAAACTAGATTTAGCTGTAGGTACAATATGTTTTGTGTGAGTTTTTGGATTGGATGAGCTGCAGTACTTCTCAGTTATTGAGATTGTGGATTTGGTGATTTTGTTCATACCCAGTTTGATGCACTTATTACACACATCCAGCATTTTCCAAAAGCAACAGTGAAAAAAACAAGAGAATGTAACAAAAAACTGTTGACTTTGGGTGTGTGGCACATGACAGAGTCAAACTAAACAGATCCCTTGCATCCACCAACTAGTACCAGGTACAAGCACATTTTAAAGTCTTACGGCTCTGAGTGTACTGGAGCATTTGCAGTTTGCTGTGCTCCATTGACATTCTTTAACTGTCTCTTTAGCGTGATCATGATTTCAATTTTGCATGCATGGTTTTTGTCCCATCATGATGCTTCCATTTCTAATGTGACATTCTTGCACCGCCCCCCCTCCTCGCACCTGCAGGTTTATGTGGTATATCTCCTCCCCCCCACAGCCAAGCCTTGAGATTTCTCCACCGCTTCTTCCTTCTACCTCTCTCTGCCTCATCTCTTTTGTCCGTGACTGCTTCCGAGGAACGAACGTCAGGATTCCAAAATGGCTGACCAGGTAGAGAGACATGCATCTTGAGGAGAGAGGACAAAAACCCAGAAAGCAGCATAACATTTGGCACTTGGAATGTTTGTCTGCCATTTTCAGCTTTGTTTCTGAGTCTCACTAATTTGGTTTTCATATTTTCAGTTCTTGTTCATTTTAGTTTGCACAATGCCAGGCTCGTTTGGTACCATGCTTCATTTTGCATCTTCTTTCATTTTATTCCTCCGCATGTTTCAGTCGGTCACTTTGGATGCATGTTGGTACAAACTCCTTCACAATTCATGCATGTATTTGATCAATTTTCCAAAGTTTTAAAATCAAGAGGTCCATATTTTCTCTCCAGATAGCTCTGTAATTGTCTCATCGATGTCTACATGTGCACACTCAGGTTTCTTCACACTAACCAAGGCAGCATTTTTTTCTTTAATTCAAGAATATCGTGTTCATGATCAACAAACATCGGTCATTATTTTGCAGTGATGTCCACATGAATTCTAACTCTTGCACTCAAACCTAGATTTACATTGTAGGTTTAGATTTCTTGAACTAAATGCAAGTGTTTCAAATCGTCTTTCACTGTTTAAAGGGTGCACCAATTAAACAAAAATCTATTTTCAATAGTTTCACTTTTCGCACGGTTTGAGTATTGATTTATTTTTTTATCAAAGTAGTGTCACTTCTTGTCAAGTTTCCAGAACACCAAAATGACTTGTTCATAATAAACTTGCAAATACTAATAAAAGACATTGTTTCATGTACACCATTACTCCATAAACACACTGCAATTTGGACCAAACCAACTTATCAGGTTACTCGAATGAATCTTTTTTCCATTTTTTTTCAGAACTGTTGGCAAATTCGTTTGAAAGAGCTTTGGAAAGTTCCATGAACTTAAAGCATTTCTCTCTAAAGTACTGTTTAGGTTAATGAGGAATTTGTCAATTTCCCAAATAACTTTGTTCACTGCTTTTTGCACGAAATGTGGATGTTCTTCTCTATTTTAATCACCTGTCGTGCACCTAAACTAACATCATTTTAGTCACGAGATTACTAATGTATAAGTTTTCAGTATGGTCACTACTGACATTTATGATGGACTTGGCCAGAAACCTGATTAATTTCATCTTTACTGCCAGTATATTTCCTCTCAGTTACAGAATGCATCCAAAGTGAATGTCCCATGATCATTTGTTCCAGTTTTTTTGCAGGTTTTTTTTGTCCTGCTCTGAAAACACTAAAAAGCAGAGTCAGTGCAGTGTCAGCCTTCAAAGTGCTCCCCCCCCCCAAAAAAAAAGCCAGGAAAGAAAGAAAATTAGAAAGGGCTTGTTGCTGTGTGCACTTCCAAAATGGCAGCAAAATTCTAAGAGTCTAGTACTGGTATAAGCTTAACTAAAGACCTCAACACACAAAAAAGGAAGAAAAAAAAAGATGCAAGGTGTTAGAATTTGCCACTTCTTCGGACACCATCTCCTCCATTTTTACTTCAAGTGCCCTTTTATTTCCCTGAAGGCTCATGCAATAACTTGCAGTGCCAATGGAACCAGTGTGAGTACTGCCTCTGTGACAGATGAGGTTCAATCAACCGTTGCACTTCAGTGCTATTTGTGCCATGCTTCCATGCTCATGTGCAAATCTGATGAAATGATGATGTGCTGAGGTTGTGCACATTCAGTTGAAAACTGGCTCTTTACCATTCCAGTCTGTAAACCAGTGTGCCTATACCATTGTTCTTTATGCTGTCTTTTCATGCTACCTTCAAGTCCTGCGTAGAGTCTGCAAAAATGCATTTGTGTTCCATGAAACCCACAACATAGCAATTGAGAAAAAGGTTGCTCATATGGGATAACATGACTGCTTGGAGTTGTTCTGGTGGTATAAGTTTGACAAATTGCAGACTGAAATCCATGTCTCAAACTGTTCAACTTTTTATGCACAACTAAGACTATTCTCCAATGCATTGTGGTTCTGCATGCCTCGTGTATTCACAGGAGCCTTTTCAGCATGTTGACAGACTCTGTCTTCCTGGCAACGAGACTTGATCAGTCGCTAGCAACAACACTGCCATTTGAGCCGTTTGGACAACTGAAAGCTTTAAGCAACTTCACTGTAGCTTGGAATCCTGGGAAGGGTTCCCACTTTGCCACAGAATGAATGACATGATTTTCAGGATGACAATCCTGATTGCATTTAGCTTACAAACAAAACCCTTGCCGAGATATTCCCTCCTCCAAGGACCAGCTGTGTTTCCTTTCATTACATGACAAACTCTCAGAAGAAAAAAACGCTTGTCTCGCCCTGGGTAGCTTTCTTTCTCTTGGTAGTGGTACAACCATTCTCGCACCGTAATAATTTATTTGTTATTTATGAAACTGAAAGAACTCATGCTGTTTTACATGCCGATGCAAATGTAAAAGCTTAAAACAAATCCAAGCAAAAAGGGAAACAAAACGTGTCAAAGTGGTCTTCAGAATCACATTTAGGGTTTTTGTTTCATTTCAACAATGAACCAAAGAAAAAAACGGAAGTTTGACTTTTTAAAAACAACTTTATGAAAATGTACAGCATTTTAATTAATGAAACATATTTCTGTGTATTTATCTGTATTTCTGCAGTGTATTTTTAGTCACATGATTTTGTAGATTCTGGTATGTTTACAGTCATGTTGAACAGCTTCAAAACATGAAAACATTGGAAGGCCTAACCTCTTTGCCAACAACTAGTCAATAGAACACCTAGTTAGAACACCTTGTTACTACAATTTTTTTTTAAACCTACAATGGTAGGTTTTATTGTTGACAAGGAGTCAAGCCACTTTCATCCCAGTACCCTGAAGATTGCTCCAAAGACAGATGTAATTTTAAACTTGTCCCAGCACATCGAAACTACTTAAACATATGCATTGCTTTGATGCATCAATACGTGTACCCTGCAAGTTTGAGTTTGTCAAATCAGAATTCCGGTATGCAAAAAGCTTTGCGCTTATAGACTGCATAATTTGCAAAAGAAATGCTGCCATTCTTATTTTTTCATCAGACAAAAGCGATACATTTACACTTCTGGGTATTGATTTGCCATCAGTGTCACGGAGGTCAGATGAATATGGGAAGGATTAGTCCGAGAGTAATCCTATTACGACCTGGCTACACCCGTCTAGGTCGGTGTTGACGCAGGAGGAGTCCATTTCGGCCACAGACATGAAGGCATTTTCACAGAGCCCCTAATCAGAAATTCTGCTGAGTTCAAGCAATGTTGCTTAGCAAAAGAGGTTTGCTAGCCAAAATGCTTAGCACTGTTCACCCAAAATCTTACTGTCATAATATATTTTGTCAGAGAGGCTATCGTACATGTACGCCAAATGGCCGGCTGCTCTGTTAGCAATTTAATTTCCGATTGCTTCCACAAACCACATGGTTAGTGTAGAGCCAGTCTAGACGGGTTCTGATTGCTTGACACTTGAGGTGTCCCCGCACTGTCAAATGCCTTCTCCGGGGTGAATACAGGCGCATTGATATCCTTTGAATATGTTAAAACAGGAAAAAACGGATCTCTTGAAAACATGCTCACGTTTAACGCTACATTGGATTCCAACATTGGTCAGTGGCCTCTGCCCATTGAGCCCTCAACAAAAGCTGAATCAATATTGAGCTAGCCATGGCCTGGGAACAACAGGCTTGAGGCAAAGCCTGGAGGTCAATTCTGAACAGGATGATAATGAATGATATAATTTATCTCGTTACCACAGAATAATGGAGAGAACGCTGGGTGGCATGTGTAAAGAGGGTCCGTAAAAATTAATGAAATGTTTAAATTGAAAAAGAACTTGTGGACATGGCTAGTTCTCTGAAATGTAAAAATTCAAAAAATGAAAATTTTTGTAAATCCATTTTAATTTCTTTTATTTTAAAAAAAAGTATGGAATTAACGCAAAAACTCCTGGGTGAGATGAGAAACAAGAGAATAGTCCTGCTTAGGCCTCAATGGGATGAGGAGATTCTGTAGGTCACTCAAGGGTAGATGACAATATGAAATGAATAAAAAATAAGATATTGACACATTGGCAATACTTGACTTGCTTATGACTTGACTTGATATGATTAATGCCCTGATTTTTTTTTTTTTGAGGGGTGGGGAAGAGACTTGGCTCATTTTGAAAATTCAGGAGAAATGGTGGCAAAATGACCCAAGTTGTGCCAGATTGAAAAAAATGTGAAAGAAAATTCGTGGAACGATGGTGATTGACTTATGAGTGAGAAACAGAAATGCAAATTTTGTGGTTGAAAGAAATTGCTGATGCTCTTTGCCTCAGTTTTCAGACCTCATCGCATACACAAGCTAAATCAGTGCGGTGTCCCTTGTACATACAATTAACCTTTGTGTTAGTCTAAATATGACCCTGGCGATTGTTTGTCATGTTTTGTCCAACCTAAGCCTTGTAGAGAGCGAACCTCTTACAAGGATTACATATTGATCCACGGTGGTATTGAGTTTCCATGTTTGCAGACAGAATGTGTTATGGTGTCTACTTGTACAGTTAATGTTCCTCGACTCTGACATCCACTGCATTCTAAACATATCTCATGGATACAGTTCATGGGCTACTTTTATTAAGGATTTGTTTTCTTAGGTTATAATGGAGTCAGATGAGCGTCTGCCGTTTGAATATGTGTAAGTGACGGTGAGTTTATTTCACATGTAAGATTTGACTTTGGCAAGCATCACACAGGCAGGTAGCCAACAATTCATTTGCTTAATTTCAGTGGGGAACCAGCCACAGGCAATGTGAATGGAACAGCAGTTTTGGCCCGAAACCCTTTTTCTTTGGCTAAATCTGTAATTTCTTTGCCCAACCATTTTCTCTGCTTGACAGCTTCATGTTTACCTTCACATTGCGAAGGAGGTACTGTCGCATCAAAATGACTTGGCTACGCCTTAAATAATTGGCATACATGTACATGGAAGCCATTGGCTAGCGCTTAGTCGTAGCCATGTAACACAAATGCGACCTTTGCTTGGTTGAGTAGATGAGAGAGCACTCTCGGCCTTTCTTGCATGGACCCTGTGCATCTACATCAGCCAAAGGATTTGGACTCTGTCCGTTTCCAGCCTGCTGTTAAAATAATTAATGTTTCAGTTCAAAAATGTTGCCAACCACTTGACCAGTAAGAAACACAATACCACATGTCACAGTATTGTACGGTACCAGATCACAACTTGCTTTACTCTGGTGATTCATGGCTTTCATGCATTTCCCAAGCAAACCAGCAAATCCTTGAGAGATTGGTCAAGTTCAAGTTGGAGATTGATTTTGTTTTTCAAATCTTTGGTCTGTTGCTGTAAAATGGCCAAATGTTGCCTTTTTGTACGTGTGTTTCTGCTCCTGCTGCTGATTTCAAGATTAATCATGATGGTGCATGTTATCACGAAGTTCTTGATTCAGTTAGATTTCCAGGACTTTCTGCTTTCAAGTGCCCCTCAGTTTTCTATTTGTTTGTCGTAACTGTTCTAATGCATCTTGCATGTTATCCTTGTGTCTCCAGGACATGCCCGGTTTCCGAGGCATGCGATATTCCAAGTTTCGGCACGTGTACGGCAACCCGTACCGGCGTGAGAAATGCTACAACAACATCCCCATCACTAAGAACTCGCACGATGCGTTCTTCTGTGCCGTGAACCCCAAGTTTGTGGCCGTGGTCTTGGAGAGCCAGGGAGGGGGAGCATTTCTAGTTATTCCAATCGACAAGGTAAGATTTGGCTTCAGATCATTCAGTAGTCATTTGTTTATTTTAGGCATAGTCTCAGTTGCTGTGCCATTCTATCCAAGATTCTGTAGAGTCCAGGGAATTTCACGACCTCTAAACATCCTGGAACTCTGAAAAACTCTTTAGAATTAAGTTTAAAATCAAGAGGATGAAAAAGTGACTGGAGGTTAGGAAAAATAAGGTAAGAACATAAAGAAATTTGGAAATTCAGAAGGTAAATTTTAATGCTTGTGAAAGTAAATTTTGGTTGTCATGGGAAAATGATTGGCACATCTACACCATTCAAACATCTTATTCAGAGGGAAAAATGAGGCTCAGAGGTCCTGGTTGAAGACAAAATGTATTGAGAATTTCATGTCGAACTTTATTCAGGATAACATAATTTTCAAGGAGGTTGCGTTGTCCCTTTACATTCTGAAGTGAATGAATGGATAATTGACATCCCTAACTGCAGGAGGTGAAACATGATAAATTGTCGTTGGGAACTTTCTTTAGCTCTCAGTTATTGTCTCATGTTTTATAAATTGCTCTCAAGAAAGTCCGACCCCTCAAGGGGAAGTGGTATTTTTAACCAGCGGAAATTTACCAAACCCGAGGACATGCATCACTGGAACGTTTGAGTCATCTGTGATCGTCCGAGGCCAAGGGACATTACAGACTACGAGTCATACCGCCTCAAAATGCTAAAATATACATGATGAACTTTGCATCCACAACACTGTACATTGAATAGTTCATACTTCCGGCATTGTTTGATATTTCTGTTGAAATAGTTCTGTTTCTAGTTCCTCCACTTTTGCAAAATCGTTCTGTCACAAATTTCTTCCTTTAGTTACCTTTCTGGCTGATTTTGCTGTCATTTCCATCATGCTTTGTTATTTCCATGTCACTTGTTCTTTTAACTCCAAAAAGGCTGTTGATAACCAGCAATGCAACCGTGCCCCAGGGTCTAGTTCCAAACGGTTGAATCAACTAATTCAACCATCCCATGTTCAAGTAGTGTTGGTCAAGCTATAGTTGACCATCGTAGATGCTTGAACTCGTCCTAGTTTGACAATTTTGGAAGGTCGGTAGGTACTTCACTTCACTGGTTCACGAATGACCATGAGATGCATGCATTGCATACGCATCACTACCAACAAAACAAACACTGCCCACCAGCATGGCTCTTTTCAACCACTGAGGGGGTGCTTCTGCTCAAGGTGGATACCAGTGAGGAGAGAGGATTGTGTTTAACACTCTCCCATAGACCAACACAGGGTACAGGGTACTTATCAGTGAGGACAATCCACCTTGAGCAGAAGCACCCCCTCACTGGTTGAAAAGAGCCATATTGGTCAGGAGTGTTCATTTTGCTCATAACACGTGCATTTCATAGTCGTTTGTGAATCAGCGAGTTGCAGTTCCAACCAAAGGAGGCGCCGTTGCGAGGAAAATTGCACCCTCGCTTGGTCCTGCTAGGAACTCGGAGACTGACTACCGAGGACAGGAAAACATTCCTTTGTTCCCTTTGTGTTCTGTCCTGTGTGATAAAGTGAAACATGTACATGTACACATTTGTACATGGTACGTCATCTCAAGGGTAATTATTTGACTTCTCCACTCAGCGAGCTTATATAGATGTAATTTGTTGGCTGCGATTATTGATGACGTTACAGGATATTAGGATAGGACATGCTTACTCCCAGAGATTCATATGAAGATAGCATCAAGTAATTCCGTCACTCTGGAGGACCTCTAGATAAAAAAAATTGCCTAATCTAACATGTCTCCGGGCTAATGACAAACGGCTGTAACTTCAACTTATCAATCTCATCGTTACTGGGGATATGAGCGAATCAACTTCAGTTCACAGAGGTCACTCCCTAGATGGGGCATGCATGTTAATGCTGAGGCTTGTTTTTTTATCGTTCACAATGACAGCAAGACACACTGATCTTTGCTGACCTTTCCTCTTGTATTGTCCAAAATATTCCACTTATAAATCAGGGTGTTCCTGTTTTGTTAAGCAGGGTTGGATAAAAGCTAGGAAAGGCAGAACAAACTCCCCCACATAAATGGATTTTGGCCTTGAAAATGATTGACTTGAGTTGGTCTTAAGCTCATGCCCACATTGAGTTACATTCTCCCCTTGTGAACATTGTCAAGAGATGAACTTTGCACATTTATTATTCAATTGAATTGTGACTGGTTGCACACTGCGTGCCTCAATGTCTGCCCAATTGACTCTGCATGTTCCCAAGGTCACATATGCCCCTCAACAACCCAAGCACATTTCTAATAAGCCATTGCCAATGAATTCATTGTACCAAGTGCCACTCACAAGTGAAGAATATCGTTTCAATCGAAAAACCTGTACTACTGTTTACATATCTGCAACCCCCCCCCCAAATATACATGTAGCTGTCTGCATGTTTCTCAAAGCTGATGACATTTATTCTACATGATTGAGAAGACTGAGAAGTAAGGATCCAGGCTTGACCAGGATCTAGGGACCAAGAGGGACCGGTACAAGTCTGTTTCCTTTGAATTCTCCACTGGCTAACGCCTCTGATCTGTGCAAGCAAGTTTCCTTCCTGGACAGTTCCCTAGCGCAGCAATTCCAATGTCATCTCAGCGAACCTGATCCCTTCCCCCCCCCCAAAGGTCCTGGCAGGGAAGCTTTGGCTTTTTTTAAATGTACCTGCCATCCGACACACTCAGGAATGAACAAATTGGATATGGTTGAAAGATTCTTAGTCAGTCAGATAATTTAGTGTTGGTTATTATACATTCAAAAGCAAGGCTGTATTCATGTAATAGATGGCTTTCAAAGATTCTAGGAGCTACCAGTCTGCTTCCACTATGCAGTTAGCCATATGGTCTGCTTCAGTCATGTCTCTGATTAATTTTGTAGCTAAAGTATCATTAGGATTCACTTGTTCAGTGCTGCAAGGCTCATGCTGAAAGTGAAAAAAAGGATGGAGCACTTGTTACTATGGGAACACACATGAACAAACAGCAAGAGCTCTACAAAAGCAGTTTGTACTGGTATGGCATATGGTTTATATGACCATTTCAAGGATGAGTGGATTTGGATTTGGGTAAGGTTACACCAAGTTCTTGAGTTTGGCTTATATGATAGACACACAAATGTGCACGGATAGTAGACTGAAGAATGATTCTCAACTTCTCAGCATTCCTCAGTTTTATGTGCAAGTTACTTGTGGGTTTTATTTTGTGGATTTTTTTGTTTGTTTGTCTCGTGCTTTGTCTTCAGTATGGACGCCAGGATGCCCTCAACAACAGGCTAACAGGCCACAAGGGACCAGTACTTGACATCAAATGGAACCCCTTCAATGACAATGAAATAGCTTCCTGTTCAGATGACGGCACCGTAAGTACTTGGAAGAAGCACAAAGGTCACAGTGGTGACGTAGATAGCACGAGTCTGATTCCCCACCATCATGACCTGTTATCCCTTCCCCAACCCTTCAAAATCCATTATATGTAGTTTTATTGGATTTTTGTGGGTTCAGTTGATCCTAGCCCCTGTGATATAGTGTCTTGAGGATTGGAAGCCTTGGTTTTGAACAAAGAATGTCAGAGTAGGTAAAGGATATTAGTGGTGTCGCATTTGCTTGTTCGATACGTGATCCCGGGTGCTCATTTAAATGATAGCTTGCCGTGAATGAAAGCTGAATTTGCCAAATACTTCCATGGTTGTCTTTCGTCTTGTCTGAATAGGCAAAAGTGTGGTATATCCCTGATGATAGTGTGCCGACGGAGAATAATGCTACCTTGTTGGCTGATCTCGTTAAGCACACCAGGCGAGTCATTCAGATCGAGTGGCATCCAACAGCTTCTGGGATACTGCTCAGTGCTAGCCAGGACAACAAGGTACAATCTTAGACTATTGGTGGCCTTCTCCCCTCCTTCACCACCCCTAGCTGGGCCGGTAACGTCCATTAGATTGAGTCTGTAGAAGCAAGCCTTAGCACGTTGCAGGAATGGAACTTTTCCTGGGGTCAGCTTATTTCCTCATTTTTAATTTCCCCAAATGGCCCTTCAGATTGAAAAAAAAAGAATATTGATGTCTTGTGCAGAGTGGAATTTTCTCCTTTTTTCCTCCTGGTCTCTCAACCTGATGGTAAACTGTATCTCTCAAATAGTTCATTGACTTAGAGATATTTTAGAAATTTTCACTGAAAGAAAATCTCAAACTTCTTGACCCTCATGTTTGGGAACTTGGTGCATTCCTCTTGGAAACAATCACAAGTGATGCACCGCATTCATATTGTGCCAAGTTAATTTCTTCTGACACTTTTTTTTCTCTTGAAATTGATACTGCCAGGATGTGGTCACACTTCCTGAAATTTGATAACACGTTTTGCTCACGGCTTCAATTTTGTCCTGATCCTACATCTTCCTCCTGCAGGTCAAAGGTGACCTGGTTGGAGAAAAACTAGGCCAGCCTTGTGCAAATTGAAAGAAAAAATGCCTTCCATCCAGTTTTGTCAATGTTACAAACGTTCACAAATAAAGGTTGTTGGCAGCGACAGATGGAATACATCTCAAATTTATTATCTGAAAAAGATGTGCATGGTTTTAATTGGCTCAATATATTCCATTGTCTGTTTCTCTGAAAATTCAAAATTCTGATATTTATCATTACTTTTAATTCAGATCATCATCTGGGATGTACAGCAAGAAAAAGTGTTCAAAATCATCGACTGTCACCGGGACAGGATCAACTGTGTGGCTTGGAGCTGGGTCGGCGATCTGCTCGCGACTACTAGTAAGGACAAGAAGATCCGAATCATTGATGCTCGGTCCGGAGAAGTCTTGAAGGTGGGAGTTAGGCTGTGAATTTAGTTTACAGTTGAAATCCGCTTGAGAGAGTTTTTCATGTCTCTCTGTTTCTTTTTCAAGCTGAAATGGGTCTGTTGGAGGGTTTCTTTATGATAAGGCTGCATTGCATTAGAAGAAGTACGACAGAGGGAGCAATAAATATCCAGTTGTCGAGGTTTGAGATGTGCGAAGGTCTTTCAGTAAGTTAGACAAAAGAAATGAAGGTCGCTCTGTGCTATGACGGTGATTGATGGCATCGGTATGTGCATTCAAGTGGGCTTGTGCCTTGATTTATACTTACTACCTGGACAGTAACGTGTCTAGGTGTTGAAAATGGTCAGAAATCCCATGCTCCATGTAATAAAGTTGAAATTTTGCTGTCTTCTTTCTCGGTGTTCTCTTGGTGTAGATCGGCGAAGGACATACAGGAACCAAAAGTTCAAAGGTGGCTTTTGCTGGCAACACAGACTACCTGGTGACAACAGGAACTGCTCGTAGTAGCACGCGGCAAATAGCTGTTTGGAAACAGGTGATTGCGAAGGATGTTAACCTTTCACCCCTGAATGTGGCACACATGAATGCTATTAAATAACAGAGCATAACGGTTTCTAGAATTTTGCCCTTGGATGAATGAGTTATCGAGAAACAAGCTGTGATTTTAAAAAGTGATTAAGAAAAGCTGTGTTTCCTATTTGTTTATATTAAGAAATGTAACCTTGAATATCCCAAGTGCAGGACGTTGAAAGCTTGTGAAATAACCTGGGATATCTTGGGTTCAGGATTTGAAGTTCTGTGAACATGCAACCTTGTTTGCGAGTCAGGGAACCTAAAGCTGTGTGATATGATCTGAAATGGAAGGTGTGAAACTCCTCAGGAGTCCTAGGTACATGTATATGACTGACAGAGTTAACAAAATACCATGTGTATGATTGGCTGTTCTTGAGTCTAGTTCCTCCTCTCTTCTCATCTTGTGTGACATCATAGGATGACCTGTCCAAACCCATGGAGATGATGGACATTGACAGTGGCACGGGGGTGCAGCTTCTCTTCTACGATCCAGATAGTCGGGTTGCTTTCGTTGGCGGCAAGGCAGGTTTTTGCAGAATTAAGTTTGAAACTTAAATGGGTGTCTGTCCACGAGCGTAGTCCGTGTTGTTTGGATCAGATGGTGCTACTTCATTTGGCAGTGTTGGAGCTTAATATTTCCAAAGGCATTGGTATGGTCTTAGAACTGCTGTATTGGCCTGCTGATCAGGGGTAATAATGGCATTATGCCCTGCATTTCAATATTGCTTTATATGTGCACATTCATAGGAATCTTATTTGGTTCTCGCGATATGTTCCCGCAGTGTCACCAATAGTTTTTGCACATAGTCAAGAATCCATATTATTTTGACGGTTGCATCGCAAACTGATGTATTGTGCATAGTTGCTGCACCGTTAACTGACGTACCGCGTGTACAAATTCCATAGACAGTACGTCACTTCACGGTTCATCAAAACTACCTCGTACGTTACTTTGTTGCGAAACCGACGATTTGATCAAGGTGAAGTTCAATTAAGTGGAGCATTCAAAGCAGAAGTACTGGAACCAAAGGCTGCCCTCAAGCTTTGTAGTTCCCATATTTGTCTCGAGTACTTGTTCATTGTATTCAAGACAGACGACATCCAATGAACCTGTTGAGTGTGACATTGCATCCTGTTTTGTTGTAGGGGGACGGCAGTATCCGCTACTTTGAGATCAGTCCTGGTGAGGAGCCTTGTATCTTCCGACTGAACGAGTTCATCACCTCGATGCCGCAGTGCGGTATGGGGATCATGCCTAAGCGTGGCCTCGATCGTAAGCAGTGTGAGCTGGTACGATTCTACAAGCTACACGTCTCTAAAGGTGTCTGTGAGCCAGTGTCAATGATCGTACCCAGAAAGGTCAGTCTCCAACCTCAGAAAAGAGTGTCGGTCCTAAAATATTTTGGATAGAATTTACTATTCGGGTAACCGATTCAAAAAGACTTTAATTTTGTTTAAATTGAGATTGCAAATTCTTCTTGAAAAGTGTTCAATTTCAGACGTTGTTGAATGTCTTGGTTACAATCCCTGCAAAAGCTTGATTAAAAACCACTGTTCAAGATACATAGGGATTTATAATTTCTCACAAACATCTTGTTCTATTTACATTTCAAGATTGAAAACACACCAACTAATTTAGACTTTGATTTCCTACAATTAAATTGTTCCTACTTACGACTTGCATAATGTAGAAAAGATGAACGTAGCCCAACTGAAACCTGACGTATGTGATGAAGGAGTAGAGACGGTTGTTTTCCTTTTTTCTCGTCAGTCTGAAGCATTTCAGGAGGATATTTATCCCCCGACACCAAGCAATGAACCAGCGTTGACAGCCCAGTCCTGGATAGCAGGCATGGATTCTCCTCCTAAGATGGTTCGTCTTGAAGAGCATGGTACCTCCAGTGTGGCGTCAACTCCCGTCCGACCGTCCCTGAGGGAGTCTGTTATCCAGACTAAGGCCAAGGCCCCCTCGAAGTCAGAGGATGCAGGGAGGGGACTCTCATCGCGGCCCACGAAGGAGGAGGGAATGGACAGCAGTTACACCCCAAGCTGGTCTTCCTCGGGAACACGCGTGTCGAGCACGAGGCGCATCGAGCTGTCCTCGCCGAGTATGAGACGAGAGGAAGTGGAGAAAGAGAACGTCGTTCCTGCTGAGTCGTCCTCGCTACATTCGGCTCCACCACCAGCCCCTGAACCAGAAGTTTCCACCTTGTCTGAGGTGTCCTCGATATCAAGCAGTCACTCTGGGGGTTCTGAAGGTCATCCGTCCATAGCATCACGCATGGCCATGTTTGAGGATGGATCCAAACGCGGATGGAGACGAACGGGGTCTGTAGACAGTGGCATTCCCTCGTCCTCCACAAAGATAATCCTAAGGGACACAATCAGAGAGGACGACAGCTCTGTCTTTGTGCTAAAAGACAGTGGGGACCGTTCACCACAGCGGAAGAGTCCCAGAAGGACTTTCAGCACGGAAAGTAAGGAGGTGATTCGGATAGAGAGGGAACCAGAGAGAGAACGGGGAACCAGCATGTCCTTAGAGGATCAGATGATTCGCAGTAACGGCGATGGGAGTGAGACAGCGGGTAAGGCATCTCAGTCCGCCTCAGATGTGAACACAAGAAGGGACTTTATGACGTCCAAAGATCTGGGCATGGACCAGGTGAGATATTCAACCCAATCAGCCATTTTTATACCCCACCATCTATTGCCCTTGACCAAGTACAGCCCTCGCACAAATTGTTTCTTGGAGTACCCCACAATGCTTTTGGCAGAAGGGATACCTAACATGGGTAGGGGAATGATTTTGAACAGTTTGGGAGGTAGGTTAACATTATCAATTTTAAGAGAAAGAGAAAAATGCAGTATATGTACTGGGAAAAAGATTTTGTTAACTTTCAGAGGACAGTGGACCGTTTTCTGTATAATGGTTGTTGTTGTGTTAGATTATGCGTGATTGTAAGCGTCAATCTGAGCTAACACTCAAACGTTTGAACTGCTCACATTTTGTCTTTACATTCCTGACAAAATATCTGTGTTTGACTCTTGTTTGGCATCCATTCTGCCCCCCTTCCCCCAACAACAGTTGTCTCCTGGAGAGGAAGGTACTATGGTAAGTTGAGTGCTGTGACCGTCTGCATGATATCACCCTTTAGATGTCTACACTAACCTTGTGTAAATACTTCCGCTGCTGTCGTAAATTTTCTGTGCTTAGTTTTAATTTTCCTTACAGAAAACCCACTTATTTGTGGATTTGGTAATTTTGGTTGAGGGCCATTTTATTTCTGTAGAGTTTATAGTGTAGTGCGCTTTATTTGTAGGATATGTATTTTGGCATGTTTTTTGTACTAATAGTTCTAACTGAAAAGTCCAACGATCCTTTTCTGTCATACACACAGGTAAGCCAGAGCCATTCTGTTCTAAGAAGAAAACACAGTTTTTCTGTGTTCCTTTGCTTTGATTGAAAATCCTTTCAGGATATCTGCTGATAACCTAGTCATTTTAGTTTCTGCTTTTTATCTCTTGTGTAAACTTGAACTTTTTGTTCTGTTTATCGTTAGTGATAACAGTTGCACCTCTCTTTTGTTTGTCAACTATTGCTCTGTGTGAAGAGTTTCAAACTGAACTATTCAACTCTTGAAACAGCGCCCTGTAAATTCCTAGTGGTTTGAGTGACTTGCTCTTTCTGCTGTCGTTCATTTTGTTGACCCGCTGCTGCTGTTGATTGCTGTAATCATTTTCTGCATTCTCGCTGTTGTGACTCTTCGGTTGCAGTTTTGGTGTGATGATATCCCTGTTACTGTGTTGCATGAATCTTGTAGGTGTAGATTATATGATCACGGACTAACGGGTTTGTTCAAAAAGTGGAACCCTGGGAAAAGGAAGGGGTTACTGTGGAGATGCGGAGGCATAGGTTGTTTTAGTCTGTCAAAATCTCCATGCTAACTTACTAGCATATAAACTATTCCGTCAAAAGTCAGGCAGCTGTTCATTTTCGAGACCGGGCATGAATGTAGGTTTGAAATTACCACACAGTTGCATACTTAAATACTTCATCACAACTGACTAGTTTGGTATTGAGTCAGAATTCCTTCCTTTGAATTACAGGCAGAGTAAAAGTGGAAATTATACATCATTTGAGAGAACTTGAACTAGATTTTTACAGCTCTGGTTTTCATTTGAAGAGCTCAGATGTTGTCAGCAATGTCTGTTGTTGGTTTTAGACAACTTAAGCACCTTTATTTCAGTGTGATTTTCTGTGCACAGAAATAGTGTTCTTTTAATCACAGAATTCAAACCTTTAGTATTGCTCTTTTGTGTCTTAATATTTTGTGTTTTTGGTGTTATCTTTCAACTTCTGTGTTGATACCTTGATGGTAACTGGTCCTTCATAATGACTTCCTTGTTAAAATTGTCACAATTAGGTCATGCCTTCAAGCCCCTTTGCAGTACTTTCCAGTGTGCAAGGTTTTTGGATTTCAAATTCACATTTTGATTGATTGATTTAAAAAAAAATCTATCTTCTGGGATGATCTATTACAAAAGGCTCTCAGTGCTTTTAAGAGAATCATAAGTATGATTTTAATTTCAAATGAAATATCTGACAAGATCATGGAGATCAATTTTCTATGATCCACTGACAATTCTGGGCAATTCTTCCCAAATTATCACATTTGTTTAATTGTTTCTGGACTTTGTCCTTGGTGTCGCTATAGTTACGGAAAGCCTACCTACGCCAGCAAGAGGAGATCAAGCAATTGAAGTCTCAGCTGATGCTGAAGGACCAACGTATCCGGCAGCTGGAACGTGAGATTGAGGATTTGACCCTCTCCTCCGAAGCCTGAGGTCTATCTTAAGTCTCTCCCATGTGGCAGGCCACCAAGAGAGGGCGCCATATAGTTTGGCCAGTCTCGAAAGAGTGCCCATCATCCCAAACGTCTTTTTATTGTGTACAGAGTACAAATACAAAGAATGTACAGTGTCTTCTGTGGCCATACAGTCATTATTTGGAATATTGCTGAAAGTGACGGCCAAATCAGTTGAAATATTGTCTGACGGTCAAGTGGACTTGGCCGAGAATAATTTGAGGCCTTTCTCTCGGCTGGCAAAACTCGGATTCCAGCTTTGAAAGTAAGCGTGTTTATTTGGTGCCTGATAGTTAAAGCAGGATATAAGTTTCCTTGTGTTGTCGTTTGTAAATTTCTGGCTTTTGACAGAGCTGAACGCATTTAATCTTTGACATCCTTGGGACCTTTCATAGAGCGTTCTAAGCAGTGAAATAATGCTTACTTGGGCAGATATCTGCTTAGCTGTAAAAGGCTCCAAGGAAAAGAAGATAGGATCACGAGAAGGTCAAAAGTTGAGGATTTGAGTTTTCAGAGAATGAGTTTGCTTAGATGAAGAAAATGCCAATCTTATGGCCGTCTTATTTCTCAACTTGAATCACCTTCCAAATTAACGAGAAGTCAATTTACATTTTTTTCTTTCAGGAAAGTGTAACATTAGGGAGCTTTGTTGTCAAAATCATAGGTTTTATTATGTTGAAGTAAAAAATTTCTGTAATGCCTACTTAAAAGGAAATTTATGTCTGATAAGTTGTAGTAAATGCTAGTATGTGTATAAATGATGCACAGGTCAAAGGTCATTTGCCTCTCAGAATAGGAAGAACATGGATTTAATTTTTTTTCTGTCAAAGCTCAGTTATGTGATTGAGTTGAGCAAATTCCTCAAGATAATAGGACCAAATTTGTATTATTTGGGAAGTTATGTCTTTTTCAAAAACATTGTGGAACTGATGTTCACATATTTCCCCAGGTTTTTTTAATCCTTTTATGTAGGCAGACTTTACACGTCAGATTACATTGGATTCAGCAGGTTTTTCATTGACTTTTTGTTGGCTGGAGTAAAATATAGGAGTTTTCCTGGTGAAATCCTTAAGAGTGTTGGGCTTGAGACAAGTAAGTACCCGTAGGTACCGGTTAGGAACAGCTTGAGCAAGTCTTTTTTCTTCTGAAATGTTACACTATAACTGGGACATCTAGGATTGGGGGGGGGATGGCAGGGGAAATATGAAGGGACAGTGTCAGTAAAAAGGTTTCCCACCTCTACATGTATGTGGTATTTTCATTTTGATTTGAAATCTTTGATAATTTAGCGGCACTTCCATGTTTTTTCTATTAGAGATATCTAATGTCTTCATTGACAATTATTTGGAGTGCATCACTCACGGAATGTGAAGAAAAGGCTCCATCTCTACCTCTAATTTTTTGTCTATGCAATCTGTCTATCTGTCTGTACATCCACAACTTGTTCTCAGAATTCTGTCCTCTCAGTCAATGTTTTGTTGTGAATTCTAAAAACATGACTTCCTTTCAATTTTTGGTTGAACCTTAAAGAAACCTGGATTCTTCAGTTAAACATTGAGGCGAACATTTATGATATAAACCATCTGTTGTTACCAGTGCAAAATTTATGATTGTAGATCGATACCAAAGTGGGGAGTTCATCGACCATAGAAATGACAAAAGTTGCCATTGCATCCTTGGAACTCTTTTTGGCTCTGTTCAAACCGATTCTCTGACGTTGAACATGTTAACATAAATGTTGCAAGGAGGCATTTGTGAAGCACAGGTTCTTTGTTCGTCAGGCCGCAGTATAAGTGAAAATTCCCACCTCAGTGGTTTTGATGTCTTTTGTTGTTATTGCTAATAAAAACTTGTAAAATATCCTGTTTGTTTTTAATCTCTGGGTAGCTGTTGTGAGTTTAGGTGTGAAATAGTTCAAAAAGAACCTTTTCCAGGACTGAAGAACAATACCTGTTTGATCTTCAGACTCCAGTTTTTAAAAATCATTGGATTATAGAGGATGTGACTGTTGATTTTTGTATCAGACCTGGCAGGCAGTGTTACCAAAGATCGTATAGCGCTGCGTAGTGGCACAAGATGGGGAACTTCTGCGTAAAACGTTATCACATGGGCGCCATTCTGGTTGGACTACGCCTGCGCAGTGCATGTTAATGCACAGGTGCAGGCGCCGCCACTGGCATGCACACACAGTAATGTTCACACTCGAATGGCGCCCATGGTGAGAACACCTTTATGGTGGAATTACCCATCTTGCGCTGCTAGGCGGCACTATATAATCTTTGGTGTTATTGTGTTTTGTGACATGTTATCTGTACTTAATATATATAGGATAGAATGATATTTTTCCATTGCAGGAAAAGGCAATTACTAAATGGGCCCAATTTCTTGGCTCTGCTGAAAAGTGCTGCTCATTTGATGCTCATGGATCATTCTATGCTTACTGCAGTAGCATGAGAATTCTATGCCAAATATGTAAGCACAGTATCCCTCTGTTAAGACAGAATTTCATTCTATGAAAAATGGTAGCATTTCTGCTTTAATTAGTAAAGATCCGTCGCTTACAGTCAGCACTGCTTTGAAATTGGCCCTGATTCCCTATTTTAAGTATACATTTGAAATTTTATTGTAAATATAAAGGCTTTACGCGTTGTTGCAAAAACTAATGGCAAAGAATTTGAGGTTGTATTTTTTGCTGATAGATGTTCGAAAGATAATTTTAGAGGATTTATTGCAAGACCAGTCAGCTGAGGTTTGTTTTTGAGAAAGAAAACTAAAGGGATGGTTGAAAAAAGCACTGGCCATAGAGTTATTTTTAAATTAAAAAAAATTCATATAAATTGCTAACATTTTAACAGAGTGAGTGCAGAGGTTTTGTTAGTTTTATTTTGACAAGTGAGATACATATCTCAACAGCGGAGTGAAAACATGGACCGATACTCAGTTTCTAGTATGGCTTGTTATTAATTTATTTAGGTTTGCTTGTTTTGAAGATTTTAAGAATTTCCAGTCTTTCAGTTTTTCCAATTACATCCGATGATTTGGGACAGTTGCTTTTTTAAAGACAGTATGCTCAGAGCCACAAAAGATTGCTTAATAGCAAAAAAATGTTGTGAAAGCCAAAAGGGTGTGCACAGTGTTGCGTTCTCTGTTGATAGTTAAAATATATGTATGATGGTTTGCTTCACAATGTTTCTTTATTAGTTCCATAGCAATCATTCTGCAGTGCAAAAGTACATATGTGCTCATTCATTTAGATAGATGACCAGTCTTTTTGGGTGTGGACTTGCAAGTCAATCACAGGTTAAATGTGATGTGGCAGTATGGTCCAATACATGCATACAGGTTTAGCTCTGTTTCCTATAGAGGCTTTGCATGGTAGCCGTCTCACAGGAGAGTTAAAAATGGTATACAGGTTTCCCTGTGGAACCAAGGGACTGCCCTGCACGATGGCTACCATGCAGAGCCTGTTTGAGGCTCTTGGTTTCATTGGAGTAATCACACAGCAAATAACATGATATAAATTTGTTCTTGATATTGGTACAAATTTTCTGTTTTTGCAAATACTGATCAACTTTGTAAAAGGAAATCTGGTGATTCCATTCATATGAAATCAGTTTTGTGCTATGAGGTCAGACAAAGGTCAGGAGGTACACAAATTGATGTTACATGAAAAGATCAGATGTGGGTCATAATCCATTCTGCAGGTTTCAAAAGAAAATGCTTTCTTTCATGTAGGTATAGATATTATAGAGAAAGTAGTAAAATTTATGTTTAATGAGAAAACGTAGGTCTTTGTATATAATATGAAGTATTATGGATAGGTCACCAAATTGTTATTTGTGCAACAAAAAAGATGTGTGAATGTAAAAGTTAGCATTAGATCAAACAATTATGCTTGTATGACAATCATTAAAGGACGCCGTGTTTTTAATGATTGGTCAGTCACACTTGGCTAACTTGTGGTTTTTTCCCTTTCATTTCCTACTGGTATGGGGAACAGTCCAGAAGCATACATTGGTACGGGTAATGACACTCCATCTTGGCCTGATTGATAGTTTTGTCTGGACCTTAGATTTTTTGGAGAATCAACTTTAAAATGTGATGCAGTTTTTAAAGGAATTGAAGTATAAGGGAAAAACGAGAATCGATGAGATTGATGAAATTATTGAATGTATTTGGCATTCAACCAAATTAGGAGTTCTCTAAAGTTGATTATAGGAAGAATTTTTAGTTTACGACAAAAACTCTGGAAACTGTCAATGAGAAAGTATGTTTTAAGGTCATCCTTCCATTTGCCGTGGTTTCTGAATTTTTAAAGAAAAACAAACTTGTGCTAACTTATTACATTCTACTTTACCTCAAAACACATTATTTCACCAAATTGAAGACCCCAAATCATGGGTTTCTTAAAAATTTATTACAACAGAAGGAACATCTATTGTGTTGACAAGAAAAGTGGGAGTGGCTTAACATCCAAGGGTCACAATAGTAATAATGTACATCGTGAATATTCATCAACTTTCAACAGTATAAAGCCTGGCCGCCAGATAACGTTTGGACTTAAAAGCTGATATACTACATACAGGTACACCATTCAGATGTAAAAACAAGAAATTACAGACGTGATGGAAGCCAGGCTAGTTGTGTTCTCACTTTTCAGAAAGGTCAGAGGAAACGGAACATATTTAAGATTTTGGTACCATTAGGTTATGCTGCCCTTCATTCAGTTTTTTTTTGGTATGTTGTACAAATGCAAATTTAAAAAAAAAAACCTTGAAAACAAATTACATGTACTTCAGAACATAAAACGTGGTTGTGGATTATATGTGGGCATATCTTCTATCCAGGAAAAAAAATGCTGCAGTTTTTTTTATAGAAAACTCGAAGTCTCACAGATCACGATCTTTGATCTCGCATCAAATTGATTCCTAAGAAACCCATGGTCTCCACTGACAAATTTATATTTTGAACAGTTTTAAAAACCATTCATATTCAATCAAACAAAAAGTACTATAACTTGACATTTGACAGCGTGAAGTGGTCCCACATCCTGGTGTCACCAGGACAACAGGAAAATAAAAACCTCAACTACAAAAATCAACTTTTTTTAAGAACCTCGACTGGCTGATTGTAATTTCATTTGCAAAATACTACCCACTACTTTTTAAACTATCGTTAAAACCAACTGCAACCAGTGTTAACATAATTACACAATTTACAAAAATGGAGGAGCTTGGGGTTTTTCTGGCACTGTTCAAACAATGCATATCTTTGGGATCCCGCAAAAAGGAAAAGCACATGGGAAGATTCATCTGGGTATTTAGAAAGCATGCATAAAACTGCACATATTCCGACCATTACCTGCATTTACTCTGCAGCTTTGAAGAAAAGAAAAATACCTGACAGCCCCATCTTTGATACAACGTCAAGAATGAACGAGTAAGATGCACTGGACTGGAGCCCCGCGTCCAAGATTTGGAGGGTGCACTTTGGAGTTAATGTTTCAGAGAAAATGGTCCTTTCCCCCCATGACCGCGGAAGGGCCTAATAGAAAATCTGATCTTTGGCAGTTTTTGTCAGAGCAGCAGCAAGCTTAATGTTCCGCCGTTTCTCTGAAGGGATAAAGCTTCCTAAATGTACAAGAAAATCTTGTTCTGGTATTGGTCAAACCTTCCCTTTACTCTCCAGGTATTTCCTAAACCATGAAAAGTTAAGGTCAATTTTAATCCTAGTACCAGAAAATGATGACACCTGCAAGGTACATGTACTGGGCTTGTTTCCCAAACTTTCCTAAGTTTCTACAAAATGATACAATAGTATCTTGGGTTTTTTTATACAGGCACGCAACTCTGAAGTCTGAAAAGGAAGATCTCCTGTTTTGAAATAGGTTTGGTAATGGTGAAATTTCCAAGGAAGAAACCTAAACCGATCCTTGGAAAGAAATGTCTGTAAGTGGGTAAACCACCCCAGAAATAAGATGTGAAACCACCTGTAATAAACAAGCATTCCTGTGATCAGAGAATACCTTCAGGCGGTGCGTTTTCTACATAATACCAAATCTTCTGCAGACCCTTTGACTAAGGAAGGCAAATCTAAGAGGAACTGCAACAAAGCCTGCCACTTCAGCTGTACCTACTGACAAAAAAAAGGCCTGGCTTTTCAAAAACATAGTTTTACCCTGGCTACAAATGTGCAGATGATACATCAACCCCACAAAGGAACACCAAATACAAGCCGAATTTAAGGCGCTTATTAAATGCTCACCAACTGATTCTGGTGTGAAGAAGTAACTGGCCTGAATTTCTGACAAATCAACAAATCTCTTGGAAACGCTGCTTCATCAACCCTTCCAAAAGAAGCCACTTAGGCAATATCCATTTATTTATGAAACAATGTACAGTCAAGCCACAGTTTCAGGATAGTACGGAAAAGTTATATCAGTCATTTCAACTGTACAACAAAATTACTTCAGGAAAAAAAAAATCCCCACCCTAATCCACAATAACAACCCGTTTGAATGTTACTTACACGGAGATGTCACGTTAAATGCAAGCCTTACACAACGCCAACTGTTCCAATCTCTTTGGTCTCATATAAAAATGTTTACCCAGCCCAACCAAGGTGCTGATTTTTTTTTTTCACTGCTGTTTGGCTACGGGGGAAAGAAAGCCAGACAACGGTTACAATCAGCAGAGAAATAAAAACCAACCAAATCACATAAATAAGACTTTAAAATAGACGACCAACAATTGATCAACTTTCTCAAACACATCATTTACTCAAATTCAAAGTGGCGTCTGTCAGTTGTGGATTTTTTTTTTCTACTGTCCTAGGTGCAAGCCGAACTTGCAAGACCTTTGTCCGGTGGGTAAGCACATTTTCAATTCGTAAAAAATGGTAGTCACTCAACAATTACCTTGATTTTTAAATTCTGTCTTTGTACAAGTCCAAGTAAGCAATCTCCAAGGGGAAAAAAAATAAAAGAATTCAACAAAACAGTCACCGTTGCTATGGAAACAATTAGTTTCAGTCATCATCCTCATCCTCCTCATTGGGGTCTCGTTTCCGCTTCTGTCCCCGTTGCTCAACCTCAGCTGATTTACAATTGAAACAAAAATTGAAGATTACAAATCCAAGACACTAAGATTTGTGTTCAAGTGTATAATACAGTATGCAGGCCGCTAACCTTAAATACCTAGTGTGAACAAAAGATGTCCACACGATGCAGGAAAGGAAGACGTTCTGTGGACTTACAGACGTCCACAGGACGTTTCCCCTTCTCTGAAAAAGAAGTTTAGAGGCATTTTGGGGTTGGGGTCATCGTCGTAAAAGGAAGAGGAATAGTCAAGGAAACCTTGTACAAAAAGCCACCTGAAAATTGTGTTCCCAGTTCAAGAAAAACGAGTATTTTCACTGAGTTTTCTTAACTGCATGAAAACAAAGGAATGTCCACACTAGGTATGTAAGGTAAGTGTGGGTGCACTAACAAAGTCTTGGTTGTTCGGTGTGAAAGGTATTGATAGGCATGGTGGGTATTGATGGGTGTGGTGGATATTGTTGGGTTTGGTGGGTATTGTTGAGCGTGGTGGGTATTGATAGGTAGGGTGGATATTGATGAATGTTGGTGGTTATTGAGAGGTGTGGTAGGTATTGATGGGCGTGGTAGGTATTGATGGTTGTGGTGGGTATTGATGGTTGTGGTGGGTATTGATGGTTGTGGTGGGTATTGATGGGTGGTAGGTATTGATGGTTGTGGTGAGTATTGATGGTTGTGGTGGGTATTGATGGGCGTGGTAGGTATTGATGGGCGTGGTAGGTATTGATGGGCGTGGTAGGTATTGATGGGCATGGTGGGTACTGATAGGCAGGGTGTTGATTAATGGGTGCAGTCTTACCTTCCACACCATCTTCCTCTTCGTCATCGAGGTCCTCATCTTCGTCCACTTCCCCGTCAGGATTGAAATCATCCTCTTCATCATCGTCATCCTGAGAGATCAAAGAATGGGAAAATAATCAAGTGAATCAAGAATTAGAACAAGGAATGAGATGATTTGGGCAAGATCAACGATACCACAGGCAAGCTGCA